ACCGACGTACGATCAGGATCCTCTACATGCAGTAAGAAAATGTCCATGGTGTCATCGATATATAAGTCGTAGGTTGCTTTGTTGTACTTTTTTCCGCTTCGGCCATGATGTGTTCCCCCTGCAGGTCACCCATCCACGCGAACGCGTGATCTGGATGGGTGTATCCAGGGCTGGAGTGTTCCAGGGTTAATCCCCACGCGATCACCATCCTGACCACCCACATCGTCCCTCAAATCTGCTAACACTGCATCAAACTGTTCTCTGAGCACGACGGAGAGGTCTTCAGGCTGTTGACGCTGCAGCCAAACTGGATTGAACTTCAGGTTGTAGCCAGCTGAGTATCAGTCCGAATTTCTTGGTTGTTTTGGGTCGTCCGCTCCAACTGGTAAGAGCACAGGCTCCTCTTCAAGTTCATCCTCGTTCATTCGTGGTGGCGGGCATGGTGAGAACTGGTAAGACCCACGCTTGAGTCTCGGTTTATAAAGGTCACGTCACCCTATGACGTCACAATAGGGTGTCCTAAAGCGTTGCAATGCACACCATGAGCTTCATTTGTTATTTATAGGAATGATGCCATACCCCATGACGTCACACTAGCCTATCGACCTGTTGAGTCAGGATGAGAGTGGTGCGAACCGATGCAACCGGTGCGAACCAGATGCGTCAAAGTGGCGTCATCAACCCCAGCTATATAAAGTCGAGGTTTTCCAGCTCTCCCCATCAGTTGCTCACTGAAACTAGAAGCATGCAGACGTCTCCGCCTCCGCCTCCTTCCGTTGCGGCTGTGCAAAACAGATGACCACAGTTATCTACACTGTCCCAAGGTGTCCTGTACCGAGTGTGGTGCTCAAGGTCATCGCCATTACGTATGTCCCAAGAAGACCAAGGACAACAACAAGCACGATAACAACACCTGCTACAACTGTGGAAAAAACGAAGGTCATCTCAGTTACGACTGTCCACATCCCTGTCGTCACTGTGGTAAAGAGGACCATAAGAGTATGAACTGCTCTAACAAGGCCCAGAAACGACCGGCTCCCACCCACCAGTCAAGTGAACCTCCAAAGAAAGTGAGTAAACTTGAAAGCCAACATCTACTGGCTCTACTCCATGACAAGGTCCTCCTCGTTCAAGATCGCATAGACACCATGTACTCTCTACTTCAACGCATCTTGGAGTTTGTCGAACCCATGGACGATTCCAGCAGCACTGCCTCCAGTGCACCACCATCACCACAATAGATACCTCGGTGATCTCTCACCCACTTCATACCTCAACGGCCCTTTTCAGGGCCACCCACCTCGCCGAAAGAATGCTACATCCAAAAGCTTTTAACCACACACACACACACACTTGTCTAGCCATGCCATCGTCCGCCTCACCCCTCTCCTCCCTCCGTCCCTCCCTCTCTCTCCTTTCCCCTCTCCGTCCCCGTCCCGCAGCTCGCCCGTTCTGCCATCTTGGATCGCGGCCCGCCATCTTGAAACGCGTCCGCCATCTTGAAACGCGGCCCGCCATCTTGAAACGCGTCCAGCCATCTTGGGGAGATGACGCCATCCTCACGCTACAAGCACTCCACCGGAACCGACGTGACGTCATCGCCATGCGGCGCATTACACCGGAACCGGAACCGAACCCGAGTGATCTCCCTGACCGGAAGTGACCGGATCCAAGATGGCGGCGCCCATGGGGACCGGATGTGGCGCCATTTTGAAAAGGCGCTAGGGTGACGAGGGTACACTACTCTCCTCTATCTCAACGCCAACAACCTGTACGGTTGGGCCATGAGCCGGGGGTTTCGGTGGGTGCCTGGAGATAGACGTCATGAGCATACACCCGGATTCGGGGCAGGTTACATACTCGAAGTTGACTTGGAATACCCAGCAGCATTACACGAAGTCACTGCAAACGGCTACCGCCTGGCCTACATCAGAATGAACCACGGACCTGCGAAAAGCTGGCCACCAGTGACTTCGAAGAACCTGTAGAAGCTCATGAACAACTCGGTGTTCAGTAAGACGATGGAGAACCTGAGGAAACGCTGCGACCCTGAAGCTGGTCCGGGTCGAAAGGGGAAGACAAGCTCAGGAAACTGATAGCCAGCTCGGCATTCAACCGGAGCAAGATATTCACCGACGATCTGGTGGCCCTGCACATGAGGAAAAGCCACATCAAGTTCAACCGACCCGTCTATGTTGGGATGAGCATCCTCGACCTCTCCAAGCACCTGATGTACGACTTCTACTACAACGAGCTCAAGAAGCAGTACGTGCGAGGTGCTGTACACAGACAAGGACTCCCTGCTGATGGAGATTCGAACCGAAAACGTGTACGAGGACATGAAGAAGCACATGAACAGGTACGACACCAGTGACTACCCCAAGGACCATGCCATACACAGCACAGTTAACAAAAAGGTCCTTGGTAAGATGAAGGACGAGTGTGCTGGCATGCCCATAGAGGAGTACATAGGCTTGAGGCCCAAGATGTACTCCATCCTGAAAGCCGACAATAGCAAGATCCGGAAAGCGAAGGGTGTCAAGAAGTACATGGTGAAACAACACATCAAACACGCCAGGTTCAAGGAGGCCCAGTTCAGGACCCGCACCTTCAAGCATCAGGTGAACATGCTGAGAAGCGAAGGGCACAGGATATACGGACTGACGATAAACAAGACGTCCCTGTCGCCGATGGACACTGGCGCTGGATAGCCGGGCGATGGAATCAACACGCACGCTGTCACGGCCTGAGAAAAACTGAACCAAAGACATAGCCGTATGTATACGATGTCACGGAACCAGAGAAAGTTTGAGGCTATTTACTACAGCCTGCATGGGTACTGGAAAGGAGCGAGTGCCATACACAAGCTCGCCAAAATGGCGACAGTATCCCCGGACGAGGCCAAAGCATGGCTGGAAAAACAAGCCCTGTGGCAGATCTACCTACCGGCACCACGCTACGTGCCTAGAAGAAAGTTCGACATTGCCGTGCCCAATAGCGTCCACCAGGCCGACCTACTGTTCCTACCCCGCGATAAGAGTTACAAGTATGCCCAAACCGTCGTGGACGTGGCCAGCCGCTACAAAGAAACCGAACCCTTAACCGCGAAAGACTCGGCCCAGGTAGCCCGCGGATTCGAACTCATATACAAGCGCAGGCCGCTGACATGGCCCACAGAGCTGCAAGTGGATCCCGGATGGGAGTTCATGGGTGCCATGTCACAACTGCTAACCAAGCATGGCGTCCAAGTCAGGCGTGGCGCGGCCGAGACTCATCGCAGCCAAGCCATAGTCGAGAGATTCAATAGGACTTTGGCCGAACGCTTATTCGGGCATCAGTATGCAAGAGAGATGGCCAACCCAGGGGAGACAATCGACTGAATGGGTAGCGCGGCTACCTCAAGTGGTGTCGGCTATCAACCACGAAATAACTCAGCTCACCGGCAAGAAACCGGCCGACGCTATCAAACTGAAATCAGTGACGGCTGCACCATCACGTGGGAAGGAGAAACAGATACCCGACCGGGTTCTCGTGAGATACCTCTATCAGCCGGGAGAACATGAAGGAGACACTAGGAAACGGGCCACCGACCCGACATGGTCGGTCAAAACATACAACATAGATAAAGTGGACATCAAAGACGACGAGCCGAACTTGTACTACTTGAAAGATGGGCCGCCGAGAGGTTTCGTCAGAGAGGATTTATTGATCATACCCCACGGCACAATGTTACCCCCCAAGCAAAATATTTAACACTTACCTTGTCGAGTAATCCCAATAGTGTGACGTAACCAGGAAGTGTTGGTTCGCGGTCATAGTGACCAGGAAGTTAACTGGGGATTCAAACAGTGGTATACACACTAGCGGAGAGAGATAAGGGCCTGACAAAAGCTTTATTTCATAAATAAAGCTTTACAGAGTCTTTTCTTGGAATTGATCTCGTACCGCTATTGTATATACTACCACGCTGAACCAGCTATACAATACGGTATCACCAAGCATATTCGAATCTCCAAAAATGTTTCACTCACAAATCACTTTGAAATCACTAAGCATGTTGAAATAAATAAGCATTTTGGAATCACTAACATTGTTGAAATCATTAAGCATGTTAAAATTCCTAAACATTTTGGAATCTCCTTTAATATGTTGAAATCGCTGGATTGTCTGAGCATGTTGAAATCATTAAGCATGTTGAAATAAATAAACATTTTGGAATCACTAAGCATGTTGAAATTACTAAACATTTTGGAATCACTAAGCATGTTGAAATCGCTGGATTTTCTGAGAATGTTGAAATACTTAAGCATGTTGATATCTTAAGCATGTTGATACCTCTGAGCATGCTGAAATCTATAAGCATTTTAGAATCACTAAGATTGTTGAAACCACTGGGCATGTTTGATTTTCTGAGCATGTCGAAATCACTAAACATTGTAGATTTTCTGTACATGTCGATATCACCAAGCATGTTGAAATATCTGTTACACTTCTTCCTATCTCACACAGCCGGTAAGACCCGACAACAACGACCAATCAGTACATCATACATCCTGTGCGTGAGTGAGTATGGTTTTACGCCGCTTTTAGCAAAATTCCATCAATATCACGACGGGGGACACCAGAAATGGGCTTCACGCATTGTACCCATGTGGGGAATCGAACTCGGGCCTTCGACGTGACGAGTGAACGCTTTAACCACAAGGCTACCCCACCACCCCACACTTTGTAATACTTTCTTTGATATCACTTCCGGGTTAGAATTGGTCTTCAGCAACCCATGCATGTAAGAGGCAACTAACGGGATCGAGTGGTAAGGCTCGCAGGCTTGGTTGACACATATGAACGTATGTTATTTGCGTAGATTGTACATGTTGTTGATCAATGGATTGTCTGGTCCAAACTCAGATATTGACAGATCGCCATCATATAGCTGGAACATTGCTGAGTGTGGCAACAACAACAACCAAACAATCAAACATTCGGTGTTCTCTCTCCAGTCCTACTGCCAGTTCTTTGGGAGTCACCTGGCCAGGGTAACCAGCAAAGATGAGGCCGACTACCTGAGAAGCCGTGCAAATGAAGAAAAGGGTGACCTCTGAATTTATTTCCAAATGGAGTTGCATTAATGGTAGCAATATGAAAACCGTCGTCATAATCTTCTACACACCATAGGCAACACTCATCTTGTTTTATTCACGTTGCTGTATTAAAACTCACCAAGTGTTATTTGTAGTGTTCAAAAACCTCGCCATGTATTATTTGTAGTGTTCAAAAACTCACCATGTATTATTTGTAGTGTTCAAAAACTCACCATGTGGTATTTGTAGTGTTCAAAACCTCACCATGTATTATTTGTAGTGTTCAAAACCTCACCATGTATTATTTGTAGTGTTCAAAAACCCACCATGTATTACTTGTAGTGTTCCAAAACTCACCGTGTGTTATTTGTAGTGTTCCAAAACTCACCATGCCTTATTTGTAGCATTCAAAAACTCATTACATTATACAGGACCACACAGAAACAGCTGTCACACAGTGTCTTCATTTCAACGTACATATTTCAAGAGGCGGTGGGGGTATCCCAGTGGATAAAGCGTTCGCTCATACACGCTGAAGACCCGGGTTTGATTCCCCACATGGGTACAATGTGTGAATCCTACTCCACATTGTGAAAAGAAGCGTCACTGGACAGTACTACAGAGACAACATGCTGACACCTTTTGTTTCATAAAACGTTACTGTGTTACGCAAAATTGTCAACTTTGAAATTTCCTGTCCTATCTTCTCCATGAGCGTTGGTGGCCAGAACATTTACTATCCTGTTTCACCACAGGTTGTAATGTGTGGCCAATTCCTTCATTATTTGCATACAACCATGTCAGCATGTCCCCTACGTTCCACCCTACGTTCCAATACACAATCTTGTTCTTTCTTGACTCTTTTTGGGAGGTGTGGCGGTGCGGGGTGGGGGGTCGGAGTCATGGGAGCAAATGTTTACATCTGATTAGTATCCCCTGAAACAACACGCAAGCACGCACACGCACGCACACACGCACACACACACGCACGCACACGCACACGCACACGCACGCACACACACACACACACACACACACACACACACACACACCTCTGACCAACAGTACGAGATACACAAATCTCTTTTCCAGGCTCTACAGGCTACTGGCTGGGTGCCACTGATCTGATCAAGGAAGGGAAGTTTGTGTGGGAGGGGGGCTCTCCCCTAAACTACACAAATTGGCGTCCTGGGCAACCTAACAACGTCTCGCCACAGCAGCATTGTCTAACGCTCTACAAGAACTTTGAGTATAACTGGAATGATTATGATTGTATTAAAAAGACAGAGTTCATCTGTGAAAGGAAAGTGTCAATGTGCTGCTGCAACAACTGACAGGCGCTCAATGACGAATGTAATACTAAACATCCAGATTGTCCTTTCAAGCTTTCTTCACTAGCAATCCAAGATAACTAGATCATATCTGACTTCACTTTGGCATATGTATACTGTCATGAGAAATAAACATTAATCTTTCCTAGATTAACAAAATGATTTACAATTCTTGTTCCACTTAGTTACAGGCATCATCCTCATCCAATCTATATTTGCATACACATCGCTAAATAGCTTGAAGAAAGACGACCTTGTAACGCTACATTTTATAACAATGACATATGGATTGGGTTACTGGGTATTGAATACACAATGCCACACAGAAAGTGGTCAAATGTAAAATATTTTATATTTGGAATTACAGTTTCTCAGCAAATGTACATATTCTAGTATTTTTGTTCCAGGATTCGAACCCACACACACTAAGTCTGGCACCTAATCGCCAGCAGACAAAGTCAGCAATCTAACCCACTATGGCTTCCACAAAATGGAAGTCGGACAGCCGATCACAAACATTGTGCGTGACTGACGCCGTGGCTGATAGGGTTAGATCGCAGGCCCTCATGTCTTTGCGAGGATTAAAGATTAAAAGAGAAAAATTGAGATGACCCCAAACTTAAAGTACACTTCACAGTACAATAAATCATTATTTATTAAAGTCGGGGGTCATCTCAATTTTTCTCTTTTAATCTTTAATCCTCGCAAAGACATGAGGGCCTGTGGGTTAGATCGCTGGCTGTGTGTGATGACGACTAGGTGCCTATAATTATCTCTATTGGAGATATCTTTAAGACAATTGGAAATATTAGTATTTCAAAATATAGGTGAAAACCATACACCTGCAGTATGATAAAGGTTTCTTGACACAGGTGTGTGGATTACGTTGAAAAGTGATTAGCAAATATCATCAATGCAGCCCAGGGTTCTCCATCTCTCTCCAATACCCGATAGGGACCTTATCGGAACGAATACCCTGGAGTTATCGAGGATGCCCAGGCTCAAAACCTGGGGACATACCCTCGTACTGGATATCTCATATCCTGCCTTACACAAGGCTTTGCCTATTCTGTGGCAAGGACAAGTTCATGTTTATGGCAGTGCTTGGGCTGAGAGTTGAATACCCAGACAATTGAAATGATTGTATCCTCAACCTGTTCATGAACAGAGAGCAATCTAGGGTGTTGATATTCAATATGCAGAATTGCATACCGTTTGGTGTGTCATGAGTTCGAATCCAAGATTTGACTGATTGTGGTCATAGGTTTGTCTGCACCCTACCTGTTTCTGAGTGTTTAACCAAAAGTGGTCAGGATTTCCCTTGTAATGTCCATCCCAAAGACGACATGGTAAGGTGGTTAGGTTCAGTGACATGGTTGATGGCGTGTCATCCCAAAGATGACATGGTAAGGTGGTCAGGTTCAGTGACATGGTTGATGGCGTGACATGGTTGATGGCGTGTCATCCCAAAGACGACATGGTAAGGTGGTCAGGTTCAGTGACATGGTTGATGGCGTGTCATCCCAAAGACGACATGGTAAGGTGGTCAGGTTCAGTGACATGGTTGATGGCGTGTCATCCCAAAGACGACATGGTAAGGTGGTCAGGTTCAGTGACATGGTTGATGGCGTGTCATCCCAAAGATGACATGGTAAGGTGGTCAGGTTCAGTGACATGGTTGATGGCGTGTCATCCCAAAGATGACATGGTAAGGTGGTCAGGTTCAGTGACATGGTTGATGGCATGGATGACATGGTAAGGTGGTCAGGTTCAGTGACATGGTTGATGGCGTGTCATCCCAAAGATGACATGGTAAGGTGGTCAGGTTCAGTGACATGGTTGATGGCATGTCATCCCAAAGATGACATGGTAAGGTGGTCAGGTTCAGTGACATGGTTGATGGCATGTCATCCCAAAGATGACATGGTAAGGTGGTCAGGTTCAGTGACATGGTTGATGGCGTGTCATCCCAAAGATGACATGGTAAGGTGGTCAGGTTCAGTGACATGGTTGATGGCGTGTCATCCCAAAGATGACATGGTAAGGTGGTCAGGTTCAGTGACATGGTTGATGGCGTGTCATCCCAAAGATGACATGGTAAGGTGGTCAGGTTCAGTGACATGGTTGATGGCGTGTCATCCCAAAGATGACATGGTAAGGTGGTCAGGTTCAGTGACATGGTTGATGGCATGTCATCCCAAAGATTGAAGGTGGTCAGGTTCAGCATGTCATCCCAAAGATGACATGGTAAGGTGGTCAGGGTCAGGTCAGTGTTGACATGATGTTAAGATGTGCATGGTCATCCCAAAGACGACATGGTAAGGTGGTCAGGTTCAGTGACATCAGGTTGATGGCATGGCATGTCATCCCAAAGACGACATGGTAAGGTCATCAGGTTCAGTGACATGGTTGATGGCACGTCATCCGATGACATGTCAGCCCAATGACATGGTTGATGACATGTCAGCCCAAAGACGACAAGGTCATCTGGTTCAGTGACATGGTTGATGACATGTCAGCCCAAAGAACAACATCAGGTAAGGTTGATGGCATGTCTGGTTGGTCAGTGACATGGTTGATGGCATGTCATCCCAAAGACAACATGGTAAGGTGGTCAGGTACAGTGACATGGTTGATGGCATGTCATCCCAAAGACGATCAGGGTGGACATATTGATGCAGCACAAGCCATCCGAAGTTAGGTGGTCAGGTTCAAAGATAACATGGTATCAGGTTCAGTGTGGTCAGGTACAGTGACATGGTTGATGGCATGTCATCCCAAAGACAACATGGTAAGGTGGTCAGGTTCAGTGACATGGTTGATGGCATGTCATCCCAAAGACAACATGGTAAGGTCATCAGGTTCAGTGACATGGTTGATGACATGTCAGCCCAAAGACGACATGGTAAGGTCATCTGGTTCAGTGACATGGTTGATGGCATGTCATCCCAAAGACAACATGGTAAGGTCATCTGGTTCAGTGACATGGTTGATGGCATGTCATCCCAAAGACAACATGGTAAGGTGGTCAGGTACAGTGACATGGTTGATGGCATGTCATCCCAAAGACGACATGGTAAGGTGGTCAGGTTCAGTGCATGGTTGATGGCGTGTCAAGGAACACAGACAGCATGGCTATTTGCTCACTATATCAATCACATAACTGTCCGACCAAGAATCAGTTATTGACAGGCCACCATCATACAGCTGGAATACTGCTAAACATGGTGTTAAACAACAAATGAAAACAAATACTAAGAACAGACATCCATCACTGCTAAACAACAAACAATGTTTTGATAATGTGATTTGGTTGGTGTGTTGTTTAACGCCACACTCAGCGATATTCCAGCTATATGGAGGCGGTCTGTAAATAATGTAGTCTGAATCAGACAATCCAGTGATCAGCAGCGTGAGCATCGATCTATGCAATTGGGAACCTGACCACCCAATCCCGTTAGTCGCCTCTTGTGACAAGCATGGGTCACTGAAGACCAATTGTAACCCAGATCTTCACTGGTATTTGACATACTAAATAATAGACCATTTGCCTTTCTCAAAAACAACCAACAAGTATGGATCAACAAACTAAACATGTTTATTATGGGTATCCAGGTTTACCTACATACGGGACAGGTATGTTGAGCAGACATGTGGACATATGTACAGATGAAACTCCACACAGGATATAAATTGCTACCTAGCTTCTTGTCTTTTCAGTCAATGTTGTTGCAAGTAATGAAAAGACCGGGTATTACAATCTGGGAACCAATATTGGTGTGCGATTGAGCATTATGTCCAAAATGGTGTGAAAAGTTTTTAGCCTTTCAAGCTATCATAAAAGATATGGTAGAAAAAAGAAAAGATCCCAAAATATATTGTTTTTACAAGTTATTTTCGTGGAGTTAACACAACATGCATAATAATGACATCAGCTGTAATCAGTGGTGCAGTGGAGCTGACCGTGCACATCAGGGTGTACGAAACATAGAACTCACAAGAATACACAATAAATATTTTTAAAGACAGACCAGCTCTCTTCCACTTTGGAAAGATGGTCTTAGTGTCAAGACAGGTCACAAATATTGTTCCATAAATTGTTTTACCAGTGGAATTCAAGAATTCAGGATATGGGCAAGATGCTACCGAACCAAACAGTGAAATTTGTCATTCATGAAATGATGACATCTTTAATCCCTGTGTTGCATACAATTCAACTGCCAAAGCTCAGTTTTGTACAATCAATATTTGAGTTATCAGTGACAATGACTTTGCCAAAATTCTTTGCCATAGTAACAATGTTGTACGATCACCCTGATCGCTCTTAGACAGCAGCTTATTCAACACTGTCAGTTAATTCACTGCGACACAGAATCTTATATTGAGATTAACGGTCTGGTCAAAATAAATGCAAAAGGTTTCTGAATGAAAAATGTTAAGTCCACATTGATCAGAATATCTGAAAGGTATAAATTTCAGAAACTATCAACATATCAATGAAAGGAAATAATGACTGATGACGAATAGCAGAGAAAGACACCCCAAAACATTAGGTCTTATGTGTTAAAGAACACGGACTGATACATTACATGCAACTGTCAACCACTAAATGTACAATGTTTGTCGACACCTCATGCTTTTTGAAGGTAAGCTGATGCCAAGTATATGTGAATAGTAGCATAATACATGTCTGCTTTCTGTCTTCATTTCACAAGAATTTGCAATACTAGTCTCATGTCTACCTTATTACACGAATAAGTTGGTTTTTAATAAATTATGACACAAGCAGAATACACAGCCTGGAGACAAATATACAATGGAGTGCTCAGAGGATCTGTAACACTGAAGCAAGTGGCTTGTCTATAAATAATGTCATACAAAGTTGCCATACAACAGTGAAGCCTCTGCTTCAAATCTAATGAGCAAACCTATGAATACAGCACTGTACAGAACAAGCACCATGTCACTCAACAGTCTCAAGTGGAACTCAAATCAGTAGTAGCTGTAGCCTAGATAAGCACGGACTAACATTGGTAGTAGCTGTAGTGTTAATAAGCACGGACTAAAGTAAGTAGTAGTTGTAGCCTTAACAAGCAAGGACTAAAGTTAGTGGTAGATGTAGCCTTGACAACCAAGGACTCAAGATGGTAGTAGCTGTAGAACTGATAAGCCCGGACTCATGCCAATGGCAGCTGTAGCCTTAACAAGCATGGACTCAAGCCAATGGCAGCTGTAGCGTAAATAAGTATGGACTCAAGTAAGAGGTAGCTGTAGCTTACAGAATCATTGACTAAAGTTTGTAGTAGCTGTAGCCTTCTAAAGCTGTAGCTCAAATAAGCACTGACTTGAGTCAGAAGAAGCTGTAGCTAACAGAAGAATTAACTTGAGTCAATGGCAGCTGTAGCCTACAGGAGCATGTACTGGACTTGGTACCTACAGAGTCCAGCAAACCTACAGAGTCTGAAGTTCCACATGAAAGTGTAGGAGTATTTGCGAACCAAGTGCCCAGTGTTCATCACAGTATCACAGAACAAGCAGTTTTTCAGATCATTAGTCAAGGTCTCAAGTAAATCTCATCAAGTCTTGTTTTGGTTGTATCGCATCAGCTCATCCTATGTTCTCAACGCTCTCTCCTGTCAACTCCGGCCATCATCCAGCAATTCCGGTTTTCAAATACAATTACCTCACATCACATAAATACTACATTTCAGTTTTTGATATATGGAAGTTATCGAAATCATGAATTCATCAAGTTCATTTCTGTTTATTCAGGCTTTTAGATTATCATTTCCAAATTCAAGATTTCTTTGCTATAACCAGTAATCATTTCAAAAAGATATCTTCACATGACGCTGCGAAACACTCTGCAGAAAATGTTAAATGATGCTGTCATTCCTAAAGATGCATAACAGTCTGCATTTCAGAAGGCAGAAAACCTAGTATTCATTTTCAGATGGGTTGAAATATCTACGAGATTTCATGTTATCACATCACAAAGGTTGACAAGCAGAGTTGATAGAGTGTTATAATTCAAGGATTTTTCAAGGCAATATTTTTCAAGGACTCCCACAATGCAACAACTATACTCATACATTTTTGAACAACCAAAGTACTGATAATGATATACTGAGGGAAACAAATAAGGGAACATCACTTCGTGGCAGTGTTCCTTTATTTATTCTCAGATTTCCTCCCACAGCGCTATACAAAGCTGGTTAAGAGGACTGGAAAATATTAAAGGAACACTTGAATTTTCCTGTGTTCCTTTATTTGTTTCTCTCAGTATATGACTTACACTGAACTCATCAGGACAAATGAGAAGCAGTGTTCAGAATCAGTGCCTAAAAGTGGGAAATACACCAAAAATATATTCAATAGTTCCAAGTTGAAGAAAACTTAACATCTATATATTATTACCCAATTCAAGGACCATTGTTTCTATTTTCAAGGCTAAATGGTGAAATTCAAGGGCTGATCTTGCCAAGTATTGAATGCAAAGGTTTTCAAGACACCTGCTGAATTCACGATTTTTCTCAACTGTGTGTTAACCTTGAACAGGTACAATTTGAGATGGTCAGTTTTGATGGTAGGTCCATTCTTATCATCAGTAATGTACACTAACGGATACCTTGAGCAAGGCTCAAGGACAACATGGCTCTATCTTCATGGTCTGGTGTGTATCTCCACACAGATTACTCATTTTAACAACAAAACACAACATTTCTTAATGTGTCTGGCCTTATAGCACTATTTACAAATGATGGCTTTTAACTGAGATTGAGATGTAGAGCAGTGACGAGGGAGGTAGACAGGAGGAGGGGGTGTTTAAGATAGAGAGGGGTTTGATAGACAAGGGGTTACATGGAGATGAGGTACAGAGGGTAGGTGGAGAGAGAGTGGGGGTAGATGGAATGAAGGTTTGATTGACAAAGGATCAGGTAGAGAGAGGTGGGTAGAAGGAGAGGGAGTTTGATGGACAAAGGATCAGGTAGAGAGAGGTGGGTAGAAGGAGAGGGAGTTTGATGGACAAAGGATCAGGTAGAGAGAGGGTGGGTAGAAGGAGAGGGAGTTTGATGGACAAAGGATCAGGTAGAGAGAGGTGGGTAGAAGGAGAGGGAGTTTGATGGACAAAGAGGTGGGTAGAAGGAGAGGGAGTTTGATGGACAAAGGATCAGGTAGAAGAGAGGTGGGTAGAAGAGGGAGTTTGATGGACAAAGGATCAGGTAGATAGAGGTGGGTAGAAGGAGAGGGAGTTTGATAGACAAAGGATCAGGTAGATAGAGGTGGGTAGAAGGAGAGGGAGTTTGATGGACAAAGGATCAGGTAGAGAGAGGTGGGTAGAAGGAGAGGGAGTTTGATGGACAAAGGATCAGGTAGATAGAGGTGGGTAGAAGGAGAGGGAGTTTGAGGGACAAAGGATCAGGTAGAGAGAGGGTGGGTTGATGGAGAGGGAGTTTGATGGACAAAGGGTTAGCTGTAGAGAGGGCGTTATGTAGAGGGGGTAAGGTGGGTTTGGAAGATTATGGGAGAAGCCTGCCTGCCTAAGTTGTGTTAATGAATTGGGTCAGGAACAAGGGAAGGTTTCAGTAACCTTCTCACACAAGTCATCTCCTGAGCCTCATCAATATACAAGAGAGCAGACACCCTCCTGCCAATCATGACGCACAACAAACAGGAGGCTGACCGATGAATCCTACAGGACAAGATGACCTGACAGAGACTGCTGCAATTACACACTTCACCGTAGACACACAGACAATTAGGGGTTAGTTTTCCAAAACCGGCATATTTTCATTTCCAGACTCCAAATGAGAAAATCACTAACGTTCTTAATCTTCATCCCTCGACAAGTCTAATATTCACACTTCAGATCATTCAGACACTGGCATCTTCCTTCAACATCTTCCTGACTTATTAAAATATTGGACCTGGCACTGTGGGAACACAATGCACACCTTTACGAGTCAAACCCCTAAAGCTGCTTGGTCACCAAACACTAAGATATTGGTTGTTCCCCCCTCACAGTCAAATCATCCTTCATGTTGTTTAACTAACAAACTGAGTGATTGAAACAACAACACAGTGAGTGATTGAGTGAGTATGATTTTACGCCGCTTTTAGCTATATTCCAGCAATATCACAAATGGGCTTCACACATTGTGCCCATGTGAGGAATCAAACCTGGCTCTACAACGTGACGAGCAGACGATTTAACCATCAGGCTACCCCACTGCCCAACAACTACACAGAAGAACAGCAATGTCCAACACTAACACAAAAGCATCAATGTACTAAGTTAACTCAAATACAATTCCAAACACCTGCATTTCATGATTATTTGAGCAATTGGAACTTGGGAACAGCCCAAATTGTACATTTACATTTCCTTGATCTGATCCAAGTGACTGCAATAAGGCTGTGTGTTGTCAAGATGTAGAAGTATGAAAGCGTGTATACACCTCAAAAGAAAAGAGGGACATATCTTATGATCAGATTTTAGTGAGTGGGTGAGTTTAGTTTATGCCGCTTTTAGCAATATTCCAGCAATATCACAGCCAGAGACACCAAAAATGGGCATTAACCATTGTACCCATGTGGGAAATCGAACCTGGGTCTTCAGCGTGACAAGTGAAAACTTAAACCACTAGGCTACCCAACTGCCCCTGATCAGACTTAAATAGATCAGTGTACCAGTGTCGACCCTAACCTTGTATGCTACCGATTCTGAAGGCTATCCTTGCAAGTAATCAAATCTGTACTGGGTTTGATTTAAAAAAGCCATGGTGTTGCAGCATGCTTGTTACTGCTTGTCAACTGGTCAACTGGTCAACATCTTCAAAACTCAACAACAAACAGCAACATGTCCCTGACTGTATATCTCAACCATAACAGCGTGCCAACCCACATGATAATCAGCAGCACATACAACAGATTGTTTGAGCCTGAGGTGAGTGAAGAGCTAACCTACCCAATCACTACCGGAGCCCAGGAAGTGTCAAGATCCAACTCACACATTAACCAGAAGCAAATTCAAGAAAATGTCAGCCAGGAAGTGTGAAGGCCAACTCACACATTAACCAGAAGCAAATTCCAGAAAGTATTAGCCCAAGAAAGAAGTGTGAAGGGCCAACTCACACATTAGCAAAAAGCAAATTCCAGAAAGTACCAAGCCAAAAAGTGTGAAGAGCCAACTCATATATTAACCAGAAGCACATTCCAGAAAGTATTAGCCCAAGAAGTGTGAAGGGCCAACTCACACATTAAACAGAAGCAACTAATTAAGTGTGAAGGACAAGCCATAGCTGGATCTGGTAATAGCCTTGACGTGCATTCATTGATGGCAGCCAGAATATTCACTCTCTCATGAACTACTTTGGTTAGTTGGCAGACATACGTACTAGCCCCTTGACCAACAATAGGTCATACTTTGAGGTTTGATTCTGATGCAGGCTATGTGGACAGTTCTTTCAACAACTTACAACAAGGAGTTATTTTATACGGTTTCAGAACACCAGGCATTCTTTAACTGAAAAAGTAGTTTTGTAATCCATCTGACAAGCAAGAGTCACCAACTGAGAAGCCCAACAAGCATGGTTCAATAAGGTTGACACCAAAGTAGAAATCTCTGCCTTTGAAAAATAAACCGTTTGACACAACAAATATAGAGTATCCACGACATACACACCAGATAATATTGCAAGAAATAGATCAGCTTTCTATGTAAAAATATGACATAATTTAAAGAATATAGCATTTCATGGTAGAAAAATAATTCCTGTACCATCTTGCACAAAGGTCAAAGAAGATGATGTAAGATGTATGATACAGCAATCATGCACTGGCCACAATGCTGGTGGACAGCTGGCTGCGGCTCTGATAATTACACTAAGTCTAAGGGCAACTAAGGGGACAGGTCCTGCTAAAGATACACCTGTACAGACACAAGTATTCTACTTAAAACCAATACAACATGTCAACAATACCAATGGTTGTATTGGGTGTTTTGAAAACAGCAACTAACTTCTACTACATATTGAACAAAACCACCTAATTGCTACTGATTCATCTGATACGGTTACAAAACTGTTGTCATGACCAATGTAATTACACTCATAGTATTTAATGTGTCCACACCTCACAATGTGAACCTCACAGGAACCTGACAAGTGTGAACCTCATGCTGTGAACCTCACAGTATGAACCTCACGATGTGAACCTCACAATGTGAACATCATGGTATGAACCTCAGTATGATCCTCATGGTATGAACCTCAAGATGTGAACCTCACAATGTGAACATCATGGTATGAACCTCAGTATGATCCTCATGGTATGAACCTCAAGATGTGAACCTCACGGTGTAAACCTCACAATGTGAACCTCATGGTATGAACATCTGACAGTATGATCCTCACGGTATGATCCTCACAATGTGAACCTCACGGTATGATCCTCACAATCACACTAATGTGAACCTCACAATGGGAACCCCATGGTATGAACCTCAGTATGATCCTCACAGTGTGAACCTCACAATGTGAACCTCACGGTATGAACCTCACAATGTGAACCTCGTGGTATGAACCTTCACAATGTGAACCCCATGGTGTGAACTCACAGTATGAACCTCACAGTGTCAACCTCATGGTGTGAACTTCACAGAGTGAACCTCACAGCGTGAACCAGAGTGTGCTGACAGTTCAGTATTTAGTCATCTAAGGGGAGTTTCTGTTATGGGGAACTATTTAGTCTGATGATGGTAATGCCAATAGCTCCCACCACCATGTACCTGTGTATCACCAGAGTCCTACCTATACAACAGCATATATACATATACAACTGTACACGCAATACTGACAGTATCAACAACCTCAAGCCTAATGCCCACTTCACTCTGTTTACTGTGTAAAGTGTCAAGTCATGTCAACAAGCTGGCTCATGTTACTTTACAGACAAGTGAAATACCTAAATCCTGGTGTATAGCAAATTAATTTCATTTTCTTTTATTTGCTGAAATACTTTTATGGACATAATAGGTGGAAACTTAAGTCTCCTAAAATCAAATTCCATTCAGTTTCTACAAATTTATCAAATGGAAACCAAGAGAGTCCATGAGATGTTTTTAGTAATACACTACCCATCAAAAGTTTAGACTCACTTAAAACACTCACTACATGTTAAGTATATATATGTGGTTACATCGAAGATGAATTTCTCCACTGACTTGGGGGAACCAGCTGCAAACCTTATGCAGATGAATTGCACGAGGATCATGCATCAAATTGCTGAAAAGTATGTGCAAATATCGTGCATGTGAACAGCTGCGTTTTGGTGTAAAGTTTTGTTAAGAATTCACCAATTTTCATGGAGTTTCATCATTTATTGAACTGATGACAATAATCATTTCAACGTTACAAATTTGTTTTACAATACATCAGTTCATGTGTAAACAGTACCTTTAAACTGTATAGAATATTTTGCAAAATCTAGTTTAGATCAGTTGACTGAAGTAAGTGGCTACATTTACACTAGTGAGTCTAAACTTTATGTTAGCAATATTAGGGGACACCAGAAATGGACTTCAAACATTATACCCACAGATGGAATCCAAACCTGGGCTTTGGTGTAAAGAGCACACTAGAAACCAAGTGCTAACAAACCAAGAAGGCCTTCCTAAACACTACGTCTGTGGGCAATTGGAGCGAATAGTCTACTGATTCAGCAGCATCAGATACTGAACAGCTGCAGTCACAGCAACCAGGTGTTAATACAAATCTTAGCATGAGTTAAATCATGACACCCTACGGTGCACCGATGTGGGAATTTGATTCTTTGAGAGTGATGATGAGTTTGTAGCTAAATTGACATGCTGTCTCAGCAGATGCTATAACATGGTTGTAAATTGTGCATAAATCGAATTAACTCATTCCATTCTGCCCATGTGTCTATCCCATGTAGGAGAGCTGTAGACTGACACCTGCAAAATAAAACTGTACAAGGAGAGAGACTGAGACTCGCCTCTTGACCCGCGGTCCACGGAACCTGTCCCACAGGCCCCTGAGTGGACACTTGTGATGACCATCTGACAACACATCCCATCCCTTGGGCGTGGTCAGTGGATGATGTTTCAAGTACGTGTGAGTAGATCTAGAACAAGATCGGCTTCTCGGCCGTCTTTGTCTTCACGTACGAGGTGAAACGCTTGATGAACTTAGGGTACTCGCGTTTGTAAACAGCTCTCAATACTGATGCTGGCGCCCAGCCTCCAGGGTTCACTGTAAAGGGAGAATGACCTGATTAACTATAAGCTCCATGTACATTTGATACTGACATAACAGATTAACTAGCCATTTCAACTGAAAATTTTGACATTTCTGTATCTTTATGCAAAGTCCAGCAGTTAAAAGACACTTGACTAATTCATTGACATGTATACTTTATGCATGTAAACATTGCCTGTATTGTGTGACAATGGTCTTTTTACTGTCTGTCTGATAACAGGCTAACTGTTTGGGGCGTTTTTGCTACTGCCAAAGAATTACGATACTTAACAACTATCCTTTTATCGTTTACTATACACTCTGGACAATTTGTCAACAAACTATTGGGCTCATAATTCTGGACTAATGGTTACAGTGAAATGGGGATGAATTCTAGACTACCCCCATTGGTTGTACTGTAACTGTGGGTTGAATTCTAGACTACCCCCATTGGTTGTACTGTAACTGTGGGTTGAATTCTAGACTACCCCCATTGGTTGTACTGTAACTGTGGGTTGAATTTAGGACTACCCTCATTGGTTGTACTGTAACTGTGGGTTGAATTCTAGACTACCCCCATTGGTTGTACTGTAACTGTGGGTTGAATTCTGGACTACCCCCAGTCTGGAAGACTGTAAATGGTAACCATGTTACATAGTTTACAAAAAGTCAAATTGGCAGTATTTCAGCTACTGTAATCGTAGTTATTTCCGCGTGGGATTAATTTTCGTGCTTTTAGCGCAAAAATATCGTGCGTCAATAATCATACCAAGCGAAATATCCATGTTCAAGTCATGACAAATACTCAAGTAGGAACAACATGCAATTTGTTTAATGCAGCCAATCAACAATTTGACCATATGAACAACACGTGTTCATAAACAACAAACACTACTTTATGATTTCTATGTATAATTATTGTTAGTACTGGTATACACTCTTCCTTAATTCGTTGTCAGTTAATCTCTCATATGGGACAGGTGTTGTCATGTTGACACAAGTATAATCCCACCTCTCTCTCTGATTGTTTTAGTAAACACGATTCAGTTATGGCGGCTAGCTTTGATCACTGCATGTCTATCGGTTTTGAAAATGTGATGGATACCATCACTCAGGTGTTTGAAATGCGTGATAAAACAACTGTGCACCGAAAATTACACCCCTTAAAAATATATACGATTACTATATATCGTGCCTACGAAAACTTTATATTAATAAACCAAAATATACATATCTGTCAACTAAGGACAGCAAACTAAAAAGAGTAACACAGATTTACACAAAACTAGCAAGGAACCATAAAACGATAATTTCTATATACGACACGTAAAACTTGGCTACAGATCGCCAGGAACTGAAGGTACATATCCATACTAGGAACCATGGGGACTTACAGTACTTTTGCAACCTGCATGGACCCTAGTTGGATTTACAACATTTCCTCAGTGGAAGATGGTTAAAGTGTAATGCTGGTTTAATTTTTTAATGCAATGAACGGTTACTAAGAGAGACAAAACATAATACAAGACTGAGTCAGGGCTCTTACCATCAGCGGTGTAGGTGATCTTACACTTGACATTGTCCCGACTGATTTCACCCTCAGCTGGCGGTTCTACGATTGTCTGACAGATCATAGCCACATTCATTGTGATCCGGACATACTTGCCACCCTGGAAAAAGATTTGTAACCACGGTAACAACATGAGAACATTGAACAACCAGTATGAGCAACAATATAAGGAAGTAGCCCTAAATCTGCTCCACTTATCTGATCTGATTTATACATAGCTGCCATGGTGGCCAGACCAAATGCACCTATTCTTTTCAAAAAGCATCTCTTTGGCCAAGTGGAAAGAGCACCTGTCAGGACAGAAGAAGGTCAGGGTTTGATCCAAGGCTGCATAATAACAAAAGACGAAAAGCAGAAAGACAGTACTTCTTGTTTCCCTGGTACTAAGGATTGAGGGGCTAACTGGTCAGTATGCATTTTCTTGGTTGGTAAAAATTCTGAAGCATAATATTTCAGTAGGCTAGCACTGATAAAGCATCTCTAGTTCGGACTAGTACAAGTGTATGCTCATACATACACACTAACACACACTGCTTTGTAAGGGACCGTTCACAATTTATGGCTAGGGGGTGATGATTTTATGGAGAAGCATGAACAATGTGAGTGACCCCCCACTAAAGTTTATGTACTATGTAAGTGACCCCCCTGCATGTCATGTACAAAATCAATGACCCCTCCCCTTCCCATATTTTTTAAGCAAAATGTTTTAATAATTTTATGTACAAAATTGTTGACCCCCTCCTACCTCCCCAGAACAAAATGGGTGACCCCCCTTAAAATCATCATCAAGCCATAAATTATGAACGGTCCCTATGTGCAATAATCTCGAATCCGATGTTAAACATCATTTACCTCACCTCTACATTAATCAACTGAAATCAGGTGTTGCATGTGGGTTAATTAACAACTTGGACTCAAAAAAACCTGAACCTCATGAAAGTGTCATAAAAAAAAGCCTGTGGAACAGGTGCCCTCACTCCACAACAAACCACGTAAAGACATACCGCACAGTTTGGGTGGTCACAGGAGTAGTTGACGACTATCCAGCTGTCCGGACTATCTTCGTTCTCGCCTTGAATGTTGCGTATGTGGGACCAGAAGAGGGCGTCTCGCTGTGACGCTGGCCACACTCGCTTGATGACATTGTTACAGATGAGCGTGTCTTCTGACAACCACTCCACTGTCCTGCACGTCTCCAGGGTGGCTGACAGAACAGAGATGGAGTGTGTGAGTGAGTTGGGTTTTACGCCATTTTTAGCAATATTCCAGCAATATCAAGGCACATTGTGCCAATGTGGGGAATCGAACCCAGACTTTCAGCATGACGAGTGAATGTCTTAACCACTAGGCCACCCCACCGCCCCTACAGAGGTGGAAGTTAGTCAAGCAGGTACATAGCTTAACAGGACAAAATGCTGTTACATTCAGAGACTTCTCTTAATGTCTATAACAATGCATTAATCTCAGTACAGTTCTTACAGACCTGTGAAGATCCGGGTTAGAATTGGTCTTTAGCAACCCATTCTTGCCGTAAGAGGTGACTAATGGTCACATGATCAAACAACTGTGAATCTTCAATAATCTTTCACTTCTAAGATCCATTCATGAAGCAGAATGATCAAATGATTATGTTTTAATGAAGCATTTGGCAATATTCCAGGAACATCAGGGCAAGGGGATACCAAACACGGGCTACACACATTGTATCTACATGGGGAATTAAACCCAGGTCTTCCGCGTGATGAGCAAATGTTTTAACCACTAGGCTACCCACCGCACTTCATGGAACAGAATTCTTGTTCCATTCTCCATATGAATCCAACATGCCCAGTTAAACCTAATTTTGTCATGAAAAGTGACATTCCTATGCAGAAACTAGCCAAGTGACACAACATTACAGAGCATTACATTACATAACAGTAGGACTGTAGTTCCACGCTGCTGTACCTACCTTCCCACTCCATCCTGACATCAATGTCCCAGAAGTGGTGGCACAACTCATGGCCAGTAATACCCTGCAACAGTGTCAGTAATCACGCTCATAACACAGAGGCGGCAATACGATATGTAATGAAAAATGACGTTGATGAGTGATATACATTGATGAGGACAGTTTAATGCAAGACTTGCATCGACAAAGTATCATAATACTAGATTACATGTTACAAGAAAACTCCAGCATTGTCACTCATAAGACCTGTAAATACATGATGCCATTTAGAAATGTTAGTGGCGGTGTTTGGTCCTGTGCATAGAGCTCAAGTCACTAATCAGGTGATATTAAGCAACGTTGGGCACGGACAGTCCTTGGATGGGTGACAGTGTTTGGCACCTTGACTCCCGAGAGTTTCTAGGACTTCAGTCCTGTCCCACAACGAAGCACATGTGATACATGTGGTGTCACCTTAGGCAAGTGAGTTTGTTCAGAATGATCACATTTTTACACCGCTTACTGTGAAAGTGTAATCCAAGATATACCTGCAACTATCAAAATATATTTCCCCATAAATTTTAATCTCAGTATATGATTTCTTCGTAATCTGCTTGAGTGGGAACTGCATGAGGTCTTACCGAGACAGTTGTGACAGCCTTGAGAGGATCCACCACAACTCCTTCAATCTCCAACTCCCGCTTGTAAACACGCAGCTCTCCATCCTCCGCGATGCAGGTCCATGTGTCTTCCCCGTCGGACGTCCTCTCGTACAGCCGGTACATGTGCTCATCAACCACGCGATTGATCTGTGTCATGTTCAACACAGGGTTAAGGCTATACCTTTCACAGTCACTGGTGACATTAGCATGATTAGCTGCATGTCTGAAGACCAAGTCTTGTGAATTTTCGTTTGGTCTAGTAAAGATCAGCGGATATAATTCTGTATACTATTATGTCCAAGAAGACTACAATTCACCAAAAATAACTGCAAGATGCACGTTTGGTGGATAATTTTGAGCACAGTGAGTTTGAGAGTGAGTATGGATTTTTGCCGTATTTTCGCAATATCCTAGCAATATCATGTTAGAGGACGCCAGTACAAATCCTAAGCCTTTGGCGTGAGGGGCCAAAGCTTTAACCACTGGGCAACTGCACTGCCTCAAATCATAAGTAACTGAAGTCATTTCACAACATACTGAAGGTTACATTTGAAAGTAACAAATAGTGTATAGTGTTTTTTCATTTAGTCTTATTCATATCATATTTCCTGTAAATTCATTATTCATGTTAATGTTTTCAGGAGTATGGTTTTAGCAATATCCCTGCAATATCACATGAGGGATCAAATTGGCTATTCCAGGGTGACAACAATCACGTTAACCACTAGGCGACCCCACCCTTTTTGTCATAGACTGCTCTCATTAAACTCAACGTGTGGTTTCAAACAGATATATTGGGACATTGTATGTAATGCTATTGTCAGAATGGCTCTTATTGTAAACCCACACATACTTTCCAAATATTCCACACAACTGTTTCAAATCTGTTATCAATTACATTTTTACTGAATAATGTTATGAACCCAATTAACCATCATAGACCATACAAACCTCCTCGTAGAACTTGTTGCTGGGTAGAAGTGATATTTTGGGTGGTAACTTCACAGGTGCCGGACTTGATGCTCTCTGCAACACACAGATCAAAATGCTATTGAGAAACCTTCATGTAATTATTTTTTAAACACTGCTTAAGTAAATCCCAAAAACTTCTGATTTTCCTATAACCAACATTTTTAACTCATAAATACTCTACATTCAGCACATATATATCCAAATAAATCCTTGCCATATTCTCCACAGAAGGTGAGTGAACAGTAGCCTTAATTTCACAAGCAAATACATCTATCGATACCAATCACTCCTCGTGTCAACTGGATAAAACACAGCCCTCCTACACTGTAACAGTGTGGGATGTTGGTGAATGAGTTTTGGGGCAATATTCCTGCAATATCACAGCGGGGGACACCAGAAATGTGCTTCACGCATTGTACCCTAGCAGGGAATCGAACCCAGGTCTTCAGCGTGACAAGCAAACACTTTAACCACTACCCTGCCCCACATGTCGGATACTGGTAAGGTCCCTGGTTACAGATAAACTGAGTACCTTCTCTTCTTCCTTCTCTAGTTTATCTAGGGTAGCATCCACAGCATCGTAGAACTCATCCTCTGTAATCATGCAGTGCGGACCTTCCTGGAACACATAAAACACATGGCATCGTAATCTCAAGACAGTGGCACAGAAACAGTAATGATATGAAAAGGTTACTAGCCAAGTGGTTTCTGTATAAGGCACTAGAAGGTTACATCCACATTATCATCTCATCCTACTCAGTACTCACTCACTACTGTGTGAATGGAGACATAATTTGAAGTCATTTGGATTGATTGATTGATTGAGATATGATTGATTGAGATTGATTGATTGATTGATTGATGTCACACTCAGTATACCAGCTACATGGCAGTGGTCTGAAAATAATCCAATCTGGACCAGACAATTCAGTGATCAATAGCATGAGCATCGATATATGCAACTGGGATACAATGACATGTGTCGACCAAGTCAGCAAACTGATCACTCGATCCAGTTAGTCGCCTCTTACGACAAGCATTGGTTACTGAAGATCAATTCTAAATAATTCATGGGTGGACACCATATGTAACATGTTTCCATGGGGTCTTAAAATTTACTATGATGAATATCGTCACCATCCATCTGTGAGACTGACATAACTCAACTTCACCTGACTAGCAATCAATTACTGCCTTGTGGTATGACATCAACAAGATCATTAGTGAAAATTACGTAACAATGATAAATACACAGATCAAAATGCTTAAGTAAATCCCAAAACTTCTGATTTTCCTATAACCAACATTTTTAACTCATAAATACTCTACATTCAGCACATATATATCCAAATAAATCCTTGCCATATTCTCCACAGAAGGTGAGTGAACAGTAGCCTTAATTTCACAAGCAAATACATCTATCGATACCAATCACTCCTCGTGTCAACTGGATAAAACACAGCCCTCCTACACTGTAACAGTGTGGGATGTTGGTGAATGAGTTTTGGGGCAATATTCCTGCAATACCACAGCGGGGGACACCAGAAATGTGCTTCACGCATTGTACCCTAGCAGGAATCAACCCAGGTCTTCAGCGGACAAGCAAACACTTTAACCACTACCCTGCCCCACATGTCGGATACTGGTAAGGTCCCTGGTTACAGATAAACTGAGTACCTTCTCTTCTTCCTTCTCCCTAGTTTATCTAGGGTAGCATCCACAGCATCGTAGAACTCATCCTCTGTAATCATGCAGTGCGGACCTTCCTGGAACACATAAAACACATGGCATCGTAATCTCAAGACAGTGGCACAGAAACAGTAATGATATGAAAAGGTTACTAGCCAAGTGGTTTCTGTATAAGGCACTAGAAGGTTACATCAACATTATCATCTCATCCTACTCAGTACTCACTCACTACTGTGTGAATGGAGACATAATTTGAAGTCATTTGGATTGATTGATTGATTGATTGATTGAGATATGATTGATTGAGATTGATTGAGATTGATTGATTGATTGATTGATTGATGTCACACTCAGTATACCAGCTACATGGCAGTGGTCTGAAAATAATCCAATCTGGACCAGACAATTCAGTGATCAATAGCATGAGCATCGATATATGCAACTGGGATACAATGACATGTGTCGATCAAGTCAGCAAACTGATCACTCGATCCAGTTAGTCGCCTCTTACGACAAGCATTGTTACTGAAGATCAATTCTAAATAATTCATGGGTGGACACCATATGTAACATGTTTCCATGGGGTCTTAAAATTTACTATGATGAATATCGTCACCATCCATCTGTGAGACTGACATAACTCAACTTCACCTGACTAGCGATCAATTACTGCCTTGTGGTATGACATCAACAAGATCATTAGTGAAAATTACGTAACAATGATAAATACACAGATCAAAAGAAATGAAAATGTGAAAACAAGGAACCCTGCTGACAATAATGGAGCAGAATTGTAATTACGATTACAACTGGATGAATAGTCAGTGAGGACTAATGAACACTGTTCCTCCAATAGCCTTATAAACCAGTCACTTTGAACCTGCACGTACCTCATAGTCTGGTCCACCAACAACAACAGGTTTGACTTTTTCTGTTGACTTGTATGCTTCTTCGATCTTCTTCTTCTTCTCCACTTCCTGAAAATGAAAGCACAATTACTGTCATACATCAGTGCCCCTGAACCTGCCTACAAGTGAGTGAGTGAGTTTAGTTTGACGCCACACTCAGCAATATTCCAGCTATATGGTGGCGATCTGTAAATAATCGAGTCTGGACCAGACAATCCAGTCATCAACAGCATGAGCATCGATCTGCACAACTGGGAACCGATGACATGTGTCAACCAAGCCAGCAAGCCTGACCACACAACCACGCGCCTCTTACGACAAGCATGGGTTACTGAAGTTTCGTTCTAACCCGGACCTTCAAGGGTCTGCCTAAAAGTGTCACTGATATGACTGTGTGTCAAACACTACACCAAACGGGTTGGGATTTGACTATGTATCAAACACTGCTCAGGAATGGGATGGAGATATGTCCATGTATCAAACAGCACTTACCCTCTCCAGACGCTTCTTCCACGCCTCTTCTCTCTGCTGCATCAGGTCAATACAGTGAGAGAGTGTGGCCACAATGCCAGCCGTTGTAGCCTTGAAGGTGAAGGCCTCTCCCTTGAAGTCCACAGCATGGCCACCATGTTGTTGTAGGACAGAGGCTGTGGATGTCAGACACATGACCCGTACTTTACAGTTACACTCCCATCAACAAGCTAACCACAGTCTGTGCAATCCATACAAACCATTAATTAAGAAAATAGAGTCTACATTCACTTGTCTACCTTTAATATACTGCTGAACATTATGAAAAGATAAAGATATACATTACACTGTTTATAGTTGGTGTGGTATGCAATCTCAGGGTTACATTCTGTTTCTGTTTTGTTTATATCCTTTCTCATCATGGCCTACCCATACTCACCAAGGTCTCGACCCTTGAAGCCCCCAAATGTGTGGTGAGGCTCCTCTGTAGGCGTGGCCGGCTTGTCAATGTCTACATCAGCATCGATGTCATCTGGCTCAGCCACTGCAACGCAGCAACATGTCATGCACATTCAGCGTCATCAATCTTCACCAATCACAAATGTTCTATATAATCCACATGAAAATCAGTCTTTATTAAAAAAATAATTCACACAATGAAACAATCGCAATCCTGAAATAATCCTTTTGAGATCCTTATATATAAATAGTACACAGGGGAACGATTCACATTCTTTACCCGTGAAGGTCTGGGTTGGAATTGGTCTTCAGTAACCCATGCTTGTTGTAAGAGGCGACTAAAGGGATCGGGTGGTCAGGCTCGCTGATTTGGTTGACAGATGTCACCGGTTCCCAATTGTGCAGATCGATGCTAATGCTGTTGATCACTGGATTGTATGGTCCAGACTTGATTATTTACAGACCGATTAGGTGGTCAGGCTTGCTGACTTGGTTGACACATGTCATCATATCCCTTTGCTTAGAACGATGCTCGTGATGATAATCACTAGATTGTCTGGTCGAGACTCGATTATTTACAGACCGCCACCATATAGCTGGAATATTGCTGAGTGTGGCATAAAACTAAACTGGCTCACTACTCACGTTCTTGGACCACCCCATGTGACACAGCAGAGGCGCAGCTGTCAAAGTAGCTCTGGAGTGTATCCACCTGCCGGCAAAGTATATCCCGAAACGTCTCCATCTCCATCAACTTCTCACGCAACCCCGACCTCTCTGCAAGTAAAGTCATGCATACTGTAATGTGTGCTGTCACATTGTATTGCCTGAAGTCAACTAAAGACATGTCACTTGTAGTGTTACATATGTAAAGTACATTGAATCAACTACTACATTATTAAGCCCACTGGAGGACAAAATGTGCTGTCATTTTCACATAACTTTCAAACTCAAACCAAATCAAGCTCCTGATCTGTCATATGTACTGTCACATATCTAATGTATATATAATAACTCCAGTCAACTCAAACAATGCCAACCTCAATACATGAAAGGTCACAAATACTGTCACAAATATATTACCTCAAACTGACTCAATGCCAGCCTTGCTTGAAGGCAAGTCACATATGTAGTCGCATATATATTACTTGGGTCAACTGAAATAATATCAACCTGACTGAAAGACGAGTCGCCATGTGGTGTCGCATACATTCCCCCAAGTATTGTGATTCTTGGTATACATCACAGACAGCATAACATGTGCTTTGTGATAGTGGTTTAAATAAGAGTGTGACAAGCAGATTGTGTACATTATCAAAGTGTTTACCTTGAATGATGACGCCGATGCCGTGGAGAGGCTGGTGCCAGAGGTAAGAGACAACATGGAGCCATGGCGCCGCAGATTGTTCTCGCTTCCATACCCCGGATTCGGCTTGCTGAAAAATAAATGAAAATTGGTCCTATCTGTCTAATGTTTGCCCAAGCTCAACCATGTTATCAACCACTGACATTTCTCGTCCAGACTTGAACAGTGAGTGAGTGAGTTTAGTTTTACGCTGCACTCAGCAATATTCCAGCTATATGGCGGCGGTCTGTAAATAATCGAGTCTGGACGACTTGAACAGTGATAGGCAGCTATAGTCTGCGGACCGATGAATTGCAATCTAACTCGAAAACTAATAAACATAAAATACTCAATGAAACACTGATCATAATTAAAACGTCAGACCAACGCCGTGAGGTTTTTGCAGAATTTATTTCCTAAAAATAAAAAAGTTGTTTAACAAACTATCATTAAAATATTGACACAGTTCACTATTTGTTACGAGGGAGGAGTGCAGAGAAAGGGACAGCCAGGTGTGCGAGAAAGGATGGAGACGGTGCAGCACAGGTTAATGAATCAATAACTTTGTGGGCACTTGTGCACGTGTTTCTCGAACACCTGGCTGTCCCTTTCTCTGCACTCCTCCCTCGTAACAAATAGTGAACTGTGTCAAAATTTTAATGATAGTTTGTTAAACAACTTTTTTAATTTTAGGACATAAATTCTGCAAACAAATCACAGAGTTGGTCTGATGTTTTGATTATGATCAGCTTTTCATTGAGTATGTTATGTTTATTAGTTTTCGAGTTACATTGCAATTCATCGGTCCGCTTTTGAGGCAAACGGACTATGGTATAAAACACTGGTGTACAACACCACTGAGGTGAGGTCAAACAGGGTTTAATGTCATGTTTATGATCACAGCACATACATAGTAACAACCACAACACCAGACTAGTGCCAGTTTAGTGCTATGGTTAAACATGGAAAACTTGGACATGGACACTGAAACTGATCAAGAGAGGACCAAAGTTTTTATCCCCTTAATGCCGAGGGGGGACCAGTCAGGGTAACAACAAGTGCCATGAATGTATTTGGATCTGGTGACAGGGGATCAAACCACAGACCTTTGACTCTCAGAGCGGACTCTGAATCCACTAGACCACAGAGTGAGTAAGTAATATTCTCACAATATCATGGCAGGGGACACATGAAATGGGCTTCACACGTTGTACCCATGTGGGCAATCAAACTTGATAACCATAAGGATACCCCATCGCCCCACTAGACCACAGAAGTGGTATACAGTGAGTGAGTTAGTTTAGCTTTACGCCACACTCGGCAATACTCCAGCTATATTACAGTGGTCTGTAAATAATCAAATCTGGACCAGATAATCCAGTGATCAACAGCATGAGCATCAATCTGCACAACTGGATACGATGACATGTGTCAACCATGTCAGCGAACCTGACCACCCAATCCCGTTAGTCGCCTCTTACGACAAGCATGGATTGCTGAAGATCATATCTAACTCATATCTTCACGGGTCCTGGTATGTAACATTACTAACACTAACTCTCACAGTGTATCTGAGATTTGAAATGATACCACTACTAAAGGAAGCTGACACAAACACATGCAGGCTCTACTTTAACCATGCTAACACTATATGTTTTGTAAGTATCATCAAGCCTTTTCTTTTACTCTGGTAATGTTGGGCTGGTAATTGAAACAGAATGAAATAACAACTTCACATGAAAACACTGGTATCGTAAACACTGATGCGACAAAACCTCAAATTTGGCATTTTTGTGAAGCCTGTTTATAGTGATTAAATCATTTTACATGGGAACAAAGTCACACATTGCCTGGGGCACATTATTTTCATTATGATCAGGATGGGTAGCAAAGCTTTAAACAGGAATGATTATTCCATCCACAATTCTGATTTTATGTCCAGTGTATCCATTAACCAAGACATACAAATTCAGCACTTTATCACTTTGTCTCTTACCCTGTGTAGCTCAATAGCATCCACCCACTGTTGCCTCTCATCTTCATGGGTTGCCCGTAGGTACCACAAACTGTCATTGACACTCACGTCAAACCGACACTCATCAAACTGATGGGGCTGAAATGTACAAATTAACTTAAGTGATATTAACAAGAAGAATACAGAAATCTTTTAGTGGCTTATCATAGAGTAACAACAATATCGTTCACTGACTACATCATACAGCTTATTAAATCTCACTTCTATCTTTAAATTAAATTTGTAAGGAGAATACAGAAATCTTTTAGTGGCTTATCATAGAGTAACAACAATACCGTTCACTGAATACATCATACAGCTCATTAAATCTCACTTCTACCATCTATAAACCATACCCAATTTTAAAGTAGCCTGGACCAATTCACCACTGTAGATGTGCTTCAGGCATGATATCTCCATATCTGTATCATTAACTCCTCAAATATATCTTATCATCCATGAGTATAATTTGATCAGACAGACCTTTTTTGCATTGTGCCATTTTAAGCAGTCTAAAATAACAGCTCCATGTCATTTGTAGTGTTGGGAATTGGTTAAAATCTCATAATTGATGTTTGGTTCATTACAACCAATCAATCATCGAAAATAATTGGTTAGCGTCATTTATGAAATGTGTTAATGCACAAAAAAATAAGGAAAAAAACATGTAGTTCTTGGGGGTTGTTTGGGGCAAAATTTCACATCTTTAAAGGATGACTAGTATGGAGGAACATAAATTTCTTAGAGTCTTTAATGAACCAATAAACTTTGTTTTTTGTTACTCTTTTAACCATTACATATGAAAGATTTGTGGTTAGTCTTATGCAGACCACCAAATTCATTCTTAAAAAATGTGTGGTTAATTAATACCGAAAGCAAAAAAGTTGCCAAAAGTCGTCGCCTGCTTCCTCTCACTCGCCAACGAAAAACCACAGACAGGTTACGTAACTCTGTCGCCAGAGCACTGCAGTGACGCCATATGAGGAACGATTTTCAGTTAGTTGTATAGAAATGTGTAGCACGCCATCATTTTGATGATTTCTCGACATCAACGATGACATGCCAAATCGCTGCTTTGTCGCCAATTGCTGCTAGGGCCGGGCGATGGTGTCACCATGCACAGATTTCCACAGGACCCGCAGAAGTTCGTGCTAAATGGGTTATGTTTGTGGAGTGCGGCGAAGCGCTAGGAAGCCTGAAACGATATCTTACTTGTGTTCAGATCGCTTCACGGAAGTTAAAGAATCAAAACTACTTACTAGTTGTGGTAAAATATGCATATGATTGATGACCATAAAGATTTTCTATGAAACAACTTGTGTAACATAACGATTTCTTCGAAGTGAGGTTGTGGTCGGCGTAACAATAATATTGTAAGTAGTATTATATTGATCACCCACCTTCGCCACAAGAGAAATTGTTACTGTAAACGATATATTTCTCACAAGAGGTTTTATTTTCACAAGAAAAACATTTTAGTGCGAAAATTTATACACCGCTTGTAATAAACCTGTCATTCATTCAGTCTAGCCACGCTCGCCTGAGTTGTTACCATAACACATCACGCTTTGAAGACAGAAATCAACAGGAATCTTAAAATGACTGATAGTGATCATACTTAACTGTCGCTGTAATGGATTTCCCAAAACATAATTAAATAATGAGCCAAATCCCATCACGAATTAGCTTAAAACAGCAATGTGTGTTGTGGCCATGGAAATTGGTCACATGACATGGTTTGATACAAAAGATTACCGTGAAAACCACTCGGAAAGAAATAATACAGCAGTATTTTATTTATTCATTAAGATTTTATTCACCAGTACATCATGAAGCCGTAATAGTCACTTAACACTCAATCATCTCATCTCACAACAACCCGCTTGTTTGAAATCACAAAGAGCTTCATATACAGTATAAGTTAATTCGGCCAGATCGCTAGAATTCGAACATAAGACTGATGTGTTTTTCATCTCTTCCGAGTAAACAGATTACTGTGTACTAGTATATCGCACAGATAGGATTTCCTGTGAGTAAGCAATAAATCTTGCCTGACAGGTTAAGCCACTCTGTTTGTTTTCACTGCTATTAGTGGCGCCAAAGAGACAGCTGGCAGTTCCGCAATTACTGATTGGCGCCAATAATTGACCGCCTGATGTAGTCTAAACCGTCAATTCCGTCTAAAATTGCACCACGTCAATTACGCTTACAGTATATATATGATTGATTACCATAAAGATTTTCCATGAAACAACTTGCATAACGACTTTTTTGTGCGGCAAAATAAGTATAGTATTATATTGTACCTCGCTTCATCGAGTATTGTTATGTTATAGTTATGTCATGCAAAATCCTATTGGCTATCAATAAAATACATTTTTATTACCAGTAGAAAGGTAGTTTTGATTTTGTAACTCGGGAAAACAAACCTAAATACCATTTATCCTCAGACTGGCGGATGTTCACAGGCGCCGCCATTTTAAAAATCGTAAAAAATCTGTTAGAATTAATGAGATTATGGTTTGTTTTCATCAAGTTAGAAAATCAAGACTACTTTCTACTCAGAAGTTAAATATGTATTGGAATCATAACCAAAGGGATTTTGCATGACACAACTTATAACATAACGATTTCTTCCACGAAGCAAGGTGGGGTCGAAGTCACAATACTGCACGATAAATTTCTTGCTACATTCCCATGGTTAATGTCCACTCACCAGTATGTAGATACTAGTCAATGTATGCCTTTATATTTGGTCTTATAATCCTAATTAGTTTATTATCATACTTGTATGCATTTTGAAACTAAATAAAAGCAGACGATCTGCTGATACTTATAGTGAATTTATAACAGAACTGTAATATCTAGACATTTTATAGCTTGCCAATGTGAATCATAATTCGCACACACACCCTAGTGCATGTTGTCTGTCTCATTACACTTCACGGCGAAAACAATGATTCTGTTGAATGCTACTTACAAATGAATAAAAAAAAAATGCAAATATTAAAATTAAAACAGATTAAAGTTATAGGAACAATATCAGGCCATTACCTTGTATCGAGGAATGTATCCATCAATATCCACAAAACTTTTCCAAATGATGTGTCTTTTAACAGTTTAATATACCTAAAAGTGATAAATCTTTTGGTCAGGTATTGGTGTATAGTCTCATTGGTCACCCAAGATAGCACACATGGCAACCAATTGCATAATGTCCGCCTTTCTTTAAAAACAGTAATTTAGTTAGCCAATAATGGGCAATCAATCAATGTATTGCCAGTTAATCCTTTGAAAGAAGGACGTTGTTTTTACGCAGACACCGACACGTACAGAGTGTATTCAGTATAGATTAGTAAATCTACATACATAAACACTACCTTTTGACAATTCCGCTGTGTAAGGTGAAAACTTATGGGCCGACACTGTTTTGAGAATACAAACAGATTTTTACATGACATGATTAAATATCGAGGTAAAAAAACACAGAAATGGGATCAATTTGGATCAGTCATTATACAAATAGGGCCTAACGACACCAATCGATTTTGACAGAATCGTCTATGAAAACAAGTTGTAACTCGAAACTAGGCAAAGCAGGAGACAAAATTAAATGACAGTAGATTGTGAGAACATATAGCTTTCATTTTCCACAACAATTGTCAATGATTTCAGGTTTATACAAGCCTGTAAACAAGATAATTTAACCCCTAAAATGTAGATGAATTCTGCATTGGCCCTCAAAGCTATTCCTCATATGACGCCAGACAATTGGTTGAAATTTCGCTCAAAGAATTGTGCACTGTTGTCAAAAAGGTCGATTTAAGTCAATTAAAGGTTTAAGATAAATTCAATCATGACTTGGAACGAGCTTGTAGTGCTTATGAAATGTAACAGACAAAACCAACCTAGTGAAAAATACTGTTCATGAAAACAAATGTTCTAGAATTGTTTGTGTTCAATTATGAGAAAACATGATCGATTGCTTGGTCGTTTAGTCACTGCGACCAATCTTCGATTATTTCAATTAATCGGAACACCACTAGTCATTTGATACAATGGCTATACAATCATGATGGAATATGGATGGGGGTGACATGAAACACGATGAAAAGGATGTGAGTGAGTTTAGTTTTACACTTGCTTTTAGCAACATTCCAGCAAAATCACAGAAAATAGTATTTTATTTGCTATTATCATGATTAGGCTAGACAAATTTTATTTCTTGTTTTACAGATCCACCAGTCACATTTTTCAAGAAAGAATTTTTTTGAAAATGTTCCCCGCTTAAAAAATAAAATCCTAATACGGGAAGGAGACTTCGACTACAAAAGGCAGTTTGTTGGACACTGAAACACCAGTATCTGTTCTCAGAGACTTTAAACTGCATTATCTAACAATATTTGAGGTAGAAATCAGTGCTTCGAGCATCTCAGCAAGTGTGAAGTTGAAAAACAATGCCTTGAAAAACTTGTGTGGCTTTTGGGTTTGACTGGTGATCTTTTTTCCTCCTGCCTTTAGGTTTTCTGAAGACAAAATTCTGTAAATCAAGAAAAGAATTGGTCTGGCCTTATGTGAATATTAGTCAAACTTACTGATTTCCTACATGACGTGATGATGAACAGTTATGCCTTTTTAATCATGATTAACATAGTTAAATATTTCAGCAAGTTCAGCAAACATTAGAAGTCACATAGAAGTTAACTGATTTGTTGCTAGTCATATTGATTCAGCAATGTTTGGTAGGGATTAACATAGAATCGAGCTGATTCCTTGCCAAGTCGTATTGTTTTGGCAACATTTGGTAAATACTGGCATAGACGTTAGCTGATAAGTTGCCAAGTCTTATTGTTTCAGCCATGTTGGTACATACAACCATTAAAGTCTGCTGGTAAGATGCCAAATCTTATTGTCTCGGCAAGCAAATGTTATATCTGGACTACACTTGGAAAAGTACAAATTCTAGTACTGTTTGGGTGAAGTCCATCCGGGATTCAAACCCACACTGAGTGAGGTCCCAAATCACCAGCACGCAAAAGTCATTGCATATTCGATGTTGGTACATACATGTATTAACATAGAAATCAGCAATCAGCTGCCAAATCTTACTGTTTCAGCAAACAACATCTATGACTGACTGACTGAGTTTGGTTTTACGCCGCTTTTAGCAATATTCCATCAACATCACGGCGGGGGACACCAGAAATGGGCTTCACACATTGTACCCATGTGGGGATTCGAACCCGGGCCTTCGGCGTGACGAACCAACGCTTTAACCACTAGGCTACCCCACCGCCCACAACATCTATGAATACATTAGGACTCCAAGGATGGCTACGGCTATCCCCAACTCATCCACCAGCTCATACAGATCTTCACACAGCCCCAGCAGTGTAACACAACAGATGGTCATCGTGGCCATGATGATACAAACAAGAATTAACACACAATCAATGGATATTGGAACATAAGACTCTGCCTGTTTTGCATGCATTTATATTAACTAATTCTATTATATCACCACTATGATTATATTTTTTCTGTTGAAAACCTTTCAGGACTACAAAGCCAGCTTGATCCAACACTAAGTCCCACATTTCATCTTTATGCTCACAGTCTGTGCTCGAAACATTTCCACTACTTGCCCAATTTAATCAGTTTGGCTCTAAGCATAATATTCAGTACCATATGGTGCTATTCTGTGAACTGTTAAAACTATTAATAGCTGAGCTCACTAGACCAAAGCAGTTTTCTAGACTTTGACTACAGACTAGTTACGACTGACTGACTGAGTTTGGTTTTACGCCGCTTTTAGCAATATTCCAGCAATATCACGGCGGGGGACACCAGAAATGGATTAGTTACGAACTGTGAACATACTGAAGTGACCTTCTTGTGTTCAGACATGTTTCCGGGTGGTCAGGCTCGCTGGCTTGGTTGACACATATCATCGGTTCCCCATTGCACAGATTGATGCTCATGCTGTTGATCACTGGATTGTCTGGTCCAGACTCAATTATTTACAGACTGCCGTCATATAGCTGGAATTTTGCTGAGTGTGGCGTAAAACTAAACTCACTCACTCACTCACTCACTCAGACATGTTTCCAAAGCTCCCTACAATGGTATCAGGTCCTTCACAGACAAGGTAGTGGACATGTCAGAAGCAGTTCCTGGTTTTGCTGTACTGCAACATTTTGGTTGATTTTAGTGATATGTGGATCAAATGGAGCCATGCTTGAGTGAGTTGGGGTTTACACCGACTTTAGCAATATTCCAGCAAAATCACGACAGGGGACTCAAGAAATGGGCTTCACACATTGTACCCAGGTGGAGAATCAACCCAGGTCTTCAGCAAACGCTTTAACCACTATGCTACCCCACCGCCCCTGATCCATGCTTGAAGCTCTGTTGTTTGATGACTCATTTAACTGGATAACTTGCACTAAAGGAAGTGTTTTCGTACAGAATAATAAACAGGGTGCGATTTCGCTAGTTACAACCTGCACTGGTGCGTGTTAAACATGGCTGGTGGAGGTTACCTTCAGTAACAGGTTGCACCCGATGCAGGTAACAATAAATCCTCCAACATCTTATGAGTGTGTTTACACTATCGGTAATACAACCAAACCGGAAGTTGACCAGTGGATATTTTTACACGCTCTACGCATGCGCACAGTGAGTCGAAAATTAATGTGAAACCAACGAATAGCTGTCGTCGAGTGTTTTAATTGGGAAGTAAGTGACGGGAAGTAATATGTTTCACCCATGTTACAAGGAGAAACATTTGTGTACTCATAAATCAGTTAGGAAGCAGATTCTTGTGTGTGTTTGTTGTGCGAAACTGGTGTTGAGAGCACACATTGAATGACATTTAATGGCAGGTCAGGGTTCACTGTGCTATATGTCATCCAGAATGGTTCCATGACTTTTCGACTACAGGAATGAAAAGGTGATAAGTAGATCTAAGCCGGGCCAAACTTTTCAAAAACAACTTAAATGAAAGTATCACGAGTATGAAGAAATAATCGTCGCTGAAATCATTTTTCTGATCAGGTGCACTTTACACTACATCACAGTCTCAATCTGCCGATACTGTTGGCCCCTGATAAATCCAGTGGTGATAAGCGTAACCAAAAATCCAGTGATGGAGTCAGTCAAATAAATAATCATAAAATTGAGATTTGATAAAGGTAATGCAAAACTGAAACAGAATCCTTCATCATTTATCATCATGGGATCTGGTTCTGTTGAATGTCTCTGACACTGAGTACTTGTTATGAAAATTGCTAAACAAGTATTTATGTTACTTATTAGAACCAGTGACATTATTTTGTGGTGCAACCATAATGATGGTGCAGCCAAATGTATAAGCCAGGTTGTACCCAGTTCAGGTACTGACAAATATAGAAATCGCACTATAATTTGTCGGTATGTATTGGCACACAGTGCATGTTTCATACCCATTTAGAAACTTGGTAAAGAGTAAATAGTAAAGGCATCAACAAGTTTGGAATTGACTTGAGGCAAAACCATAAAGAGTGCACACTTGTTTTATGTTTATACCTCCAAGAAGGCAAAACAATTCTTGAGTAAACAAACACAATAACTTGTTGATACCTTTACCATATTCTCAGCTCAACCAATTGATGTGTAAACAAATACCAAATAAATCTGTCTGTTATCAAAACCATATCAAATAGGGTTATCTGCTGATCATGCTGATAGTAATAAACTGGTTATCTTGTCTAGTCTCCAATGGTCATGACATGACCCCATCGCCACACTCAGAGACAATAGACAGGTTTACTAACTACAGTGAGTATGGTTTTTAATTTTACGCTGCTTTTAGCAATATTCCAGCAATATCATGGCGGGGGACACCAGAAATCAGCATCACACATTGTACCCATGTGGGGAATCGAACCCGGGTCTTCGGCGTGACGAGCGAACGCTTTAACCACTAGGCTACCCCAACGCCCCTACTAACTACATCACATGTAGGACATAGCCAGGTGTATCACCTGTATCACCTCTAGCCTATAGCCAGATGTACAATTAGTATCACCTGTATCACCTGTATGCATTAGCTAGGTGTACCACCTGCATCACCTGTATAGCACTGCCAGGTGTATCATCACCTGTATCACCTGTATCACCTCTAGCAAGATGTACAACTGATATCACCTGTATGCCATACCTAGGTGTACCACCTGTATCACCTGTACGACATAGCCAGGTGTATCACTTGTATCACCTTTAGGACATAGCTAGGTGTACCACCTATATCACCTGTATGACATTGTCAGGTGTATCACTTGTATCACCTTTAGGACATAGCCAAGTGTATCATCTGTATCACCTTTAGGACACAGCCAGGTATATAACCCATAACACCCATATGATATAGCCAGGTGTATCAATAATGTATCACCTGTTGGACATAGCAAGATGGACATAGCCAGGTACATTACCTATATATCCCATAGGATGTATAGTAGGCCAAAGCCATTTTTCACCTGTATCATCTGTAGGCTATAGCCAGGTGTACCACCATAATCACCATTAGGATATACTCATAGTCATATAGCCAAGTGCATCACCTGTAACACCCATATGCCATAGCCAGGTGTACCACCTGCACCTGTAGACCATATACAGGTGTATCACCTGCACCAACTGATATCACCTGTAGACCATATACAGGTGTATCATTCTTATCGCCTGCAGACTTGGTGCACCAGTTTACTGTGATGTGCTTGATGGGAGGGCAGATTAATCAGTGTGAAATAACCATGTTAAACATTGGTAAAGTTACTACCCCATTTAGCAAAGGGGTTTCTGAGAAGTAATGTATTCTTATATTAGCAAGATCATCAACAAATGGCCCTAGAAAACATGAAGTGTGCAGATGGTGGTGTATAAAAGTAGGTAATCTCCTCTGCACAAACTTTCATCTTGATAGCTGTGATAACCTTGCTTATCAGGACGGTAACCTTCCTCAAATATTGTCTGGATAAACAAATTCACAGACATCTGAATCATTTAGCAGATGCTTCCACTACTCAATGAATTATTTAATAAACTTCATAAAACAGAAAGTAAACATCAGTCCCAATATACCACGAACATTTTTCATTGGTAGTAAGTCTAATGACATGATCATATTAACACTGCAATCACACAATACCCATGTCTCTAATGTTTGCCGAGGGCCAGGGTGATGAATTGCAAAACTACAATTGTCAAACATAACTTCTTCTAGTGGCATTTTAGAAGCTGGGAAGTACAAGATAACCGTGCTTGACAATGAAATCAAACTTTATGGATAACAACTTCTTTATTTCATTGGTGTGATGTTTTGATACAGATTCTTGTACCTTTGTCAACAGATAACATTCCTGCTTCACAACGGTACAAGAATCTGTATCACGTCGCACTCACAAAATAAAGAAGTTGTTATCCATAAAGTTTGAGTTCATTGTCAAGCACAGTTATAGTCCAGTGAGTGGGATACAATACTGAGTATTTTGCCCTGTTGGTAAATGACATTCACTGTACGGATCCGAAACCTGATTTCTCTACAAAAGAAGCATTTTCTGCAATATACATTTCATTTCATTTCACATAAATATCCTCCTGTACCCAAACTTTCCACATATGAGGAGTTCTTCTGCATTCTATTTCCAAATGCTTATTTCTTAATCTAAATATGATGTCCATGTACTATTGTAGTGCTCTCATCCTGCCATAGGTAAAAGCTCTCAGAGCCTTTAGGCTTCTCAAAGAAAATGCATTCAAGAAGTATTTTCTTGTCTATATTATCCACCAACCTACAAAAAAAATATATAAGTAATCTTTGAAAGCACCCCACATAAAGTTTGACAATTGACATGCCAGTCCATATATTGATTTACATCCTTGTGTATGTTGATTTCTCCACATGAAACACTACCTGTAATCAAGGTAATCACATGGTAATGGCCCGAGGACTATTATCAGCTTATTGTCAGGATAATTAGCTTCATCTATGTTTAAACACATTGTGTTTTCTACTGCAAGATCAATTTTATTTGGGACATGTTTTGATAAGCTGCTTCCTGGTAATCCAGTGCCTTCGATGCATTTTCTGCCAATACAGCAATTCTACTTCATGTTACTGAAGTGGACAGTTTCAGTTTATAAAACCACTGTGTTACTAGTACCTAGAAGAGAGATATATCAAACTACTAGGGCTGTGCAATATAACCGGTTTACCGGTATTTACCGGTTCAGACATGAAAACTATACATATTGTGATACGCTGATGGAAAACCAGTATTTTGACATGCATTCGGAAAACTTCATAACACTCAGAAATCTTCGGATATTGCTGTTTTTCACACTGGAAGTCATGCGTTTGTTGTAAAATGGCGACCCCAAACAACAAACAATTTATTATGGTGCCCAATACTAGGGCAAAGGCTTCAGTATGGCAGCATTTTGGGTTGAAAAAGTTTACATTTATTTATTTTGTCATGATTAGAAGTTTTTATTAAAGCTTAATCAAACATAGAAATTTTGTGTGTTTTTTTGCTTTACAAATCAAGCATTAACTCGATCGTAAGTAGTTTTATGTTTAAAAAACTTCTTGCAATATATTGCAATACATATCACAATATATGCTTTCTCATCGCAATATGAAAATTCTCTGCAATACCCACCCCTACAAACTACTGCAGTTGTTTGCCTACAACAGTACTGTGTCAACAGAAATCTTAAATATTGTCAGTGGTGTGCACAAAAATCAATAATTTCAATAGCTACTAGGAGTATATAATACCTATATCATGTGAATTTCAGATCTGCCTGGGTGGTTGGTTAGCAAGGATTATGAATTCAGATCAGACCTGCTCAACTTTGGTGAGAGTATGGAGAAAAAAAGGCTGTCTCAATGGTTGTCAGTAATACTAGAGTCAATCTATTACATAGGTTAATGTAATTATCAAGCCTTCAAATATATATATCGCTGCATATAGTCCAACCCCACGTATAAGATGACTCCTCTCGACAAGCCTTCAAAATCAATGCTAATTTACATATCACGTCAATAACACGACCCTGATCGAAGCACATTATCAGAGCATGCATGATCCTTAACCATGTTAACTTTGTAATAAAAATGGGTTATGTGTCACAATATATTTCTTATATGATGCTTGCCTTGTAGATCACAATCCTGTTGCAACAGGTGACAGCTATCGAACTGCTACTGCAACTGTGTGGGCTATTATAGAAAATGTTCCCAATAATCAGCCATACTAGTTTACACATCACATCAACAGTGATCCAAGTTTTCTGATTCCTAGAGCAATCAGTTCCATGTGCACAAAAGAACTAAAGTATTTCATCCATAAATCAAATGTTTATTTTATGCTTACACATCTTGAGTTCAATGGCTTCTGAGAGATTGGAAAGACAGTTGTTTAAGAATACTTATAGAACTATTTTAAAAGATTACTTTTCATTTTAGGGCAATGAACAAATCTGAATCCTAATGTATTGCTGCTACCATTGTCAGAACCAATAGTTCCAATATTTGAGATTCCAAGGACTTGCAGGATAAGATTTATCTATCTCTTTTAACATTGTAATCATATGAATGTGATGCTAAACGTTATTGCAAAGTTTTAGGCTTCCCTTTGTTAAAGCAGTTTGAAGATGATGTGGACAGATGATGGACAACACATTGTCAATGGTATACCAAGACCATGGCAAGACATACTTGGATATGGTGTGGTAAGCATGGTAAATGTGGCCTTAGCAGAGACTATGTCCAACAGCTGTGGCCAGGTACTCTTGTTACACTTATGTGTTACCGACCACTGACTGACGTTGAACACTGCATTCAGCCATATTCCCGCTATATGGCAGTGGTCTGTAAATAATCGGGTCTGGACCAGACAAACCAGTGATCAACAGCATTAGCATTGTAATATACAAATGGGATACGATGACATGTGTCAACCAAGTCAGCGAGCCTGAACACCCAACCCTGTCAGCCACCTCTTACGACAAGCTTGGGTTACTGAAGACCAATTATAACCTGGATATTCATGGGTCGCTGTTACAGTGACCAAGAGGAAGTGTTCACAGGTTATTTACTGTGACTTGTGATCCACAACACCACTTGCTCACATCAAAGGGACATCTACGTGAGAGTTTACCGAGCCAGCTGTGTTTCACCTGGAACTATTCAGGTTAACTACAACATTAACACTGGAGTTTGCAGAATGTTGCTCATAGACACACTCAAGATATCAAACGTCATGTTTTGAAAATATAGTACACATTTGAACTTAATGTTTCCTTGTTCTCTGACATGTCAACCTAATAACAACTTAAGTGCATTTCTGAAAATGATGAAGAAGGCTTCTAAAGATGTAACATGATGAAGAGTGGACCCATATTCACCATGATCAAAGTACATTGTGTCTGTGTATACGTGGTATAAATAAGCATATAGCATGATAAAGGATAATGTATATCCCTAAGTGTACTACACCATGTATAACGTTCCCCTTTGAACTTGTTGATTCTGACCCAGATCAATTATCTGATAATAATGACTTACATGATTACAATTAAAATACGGTTTTGGCATGCTTTGATGTCTATCAGCATGATTAGAAAGAAGGGTAGGCTCAAATTAGATTATCAGATTTGTTATTAAAATGCTAATGTTTACATATCCACAAACAAGGCTGGTCAGCCTTTTTAACATGTTTTAGAGAATGTAACCATGGCTCACACTTAGCCAGATGTGGTCTTGTGGAATAAAACCGAACCTAAACATTTTATGGGGCCAGTGAGCATGGTGAGTGAATGAGTTTAGTTTAATGCTGCACTCAGCAATATTCCAGCTATATGGCGGTATTCTGTAAATAATCAAGTCTGGGCCAGACAATCCAGTGATCAACAGCATGAATATCAATCTACTCAATTGGGATATGATGATATATGTCAACCAAGTCAGCGAGCCTGACCACCCAATCCCATTAGTCGCCTCTTACGACAAGCATGGGTTACTGAAGACCCATTCTAACCCAGGTCAAGCCTGATGAGGGGTTTTATTCAAGATGTATCAGCATAATCAGTACCAATCGCTCAGCTCCTGTGGCAGCCAGGACACGAAGACTTGTATGCGGTTTTTGCATACCTTTTTACTGAGGCATTGCCTGTGGCCTATCAGATGACCAATGTCACCTGCCACGATAGTGTAGTACAAATACCATGTACATTCAGCCTACCACCAATTAAAAACCTTGCTCTTCAATAACTGCAACCAGCAAACAATACATTACTGATGAGATGATACCTGCATAACAAGGCAACATTAGCATGGTTAGTAGTGTGGGAATTGGTTAAAATCTCACAATTGATGATTGGTTCATTCCAACCGATCAATCATTGAAAAAAATTGGTAAGCGAGATTTATCAAATTCTCCTGGTTATGTTTGTTGATTCACAAAAAATATAGAAAAACGTAGTTCTTTTGGTTTTTTGTGGTTAATTGCACAAAATGCATTTACAAATTTCACATCTTTAAAGGATGACTAGTATGTTAGGAACATAAGATTTCTGGAATCTTTAAGCTAAATTCAATCATGACTTGGAAAGAGCTTGTAGTACTTATGAATTGTAACAGACAAAAACAACCTTTTGAAAAATGTTGTTAATGCAAACAAGTGTTCCAAAATTGTTTGTGTTCGATTATGAAAAAAACATGACCGATTGCTCAGTCATTTAGTCATTGCGACCAATCTTCGATTATTTCAATTAATCGGACCACCACTAATGATTAGATATCATGATGAGAGTAATCAGGCTTTCTAAATGAACCACTCCCTACACATCAACATTACCTAAGCAAATACACAAGAATCCCTCATAACATGTGGTACTGGTAGCTCATTAATATTTCCAACATCATAGTGATAAGCAGATCAACATTATGGTCATTAACAAGACTGATGCTACAATATATAATATATCCTTCAAAAAAAGTATACTTTTTCCTGTTGGGTACTGATCATGTTCATACTCTTATTCAATAATAAGAATGAAGGGCCCTACTCGTGACAATGTTTGTGTTGCCAATGAATCTGAGGTCATTAGTTAAACTGTCACACCAATCTTGGCACCCAACCATCAACTTATAGATAGAGAACATGCCTTGCACATGTGGCATGTCAAGACAACATAAATCAGCATGAGAATGTTTATACTGTGTATGCATGTTACAGTCAATAGCAGGCATCAGTTAATATTGGACTGTGACCCACTTTCAAACAAATAACAACATAATCATGATAATGACTGTAGTTTTGCATATCTATGATCAGGGCAATCTGTTCACAGATGAATCAAAGCACAATAAACATGATCAATTATCAGTAATGCACCAGCTTATTCTTGCCATCAAAACTATAGACAGGCTTGTGCTTGGCACACAAATGTGCAGAGTAGTAGCAGACAAAATATTATTTCATCCTAACTGACATACAAAAATAATCATGATATCATTTTTTTTTACACAGAATAAAAAGGCCCTGTAATTAAGTCTGAACTACACTACACCATTTCATTTCTCTTGAATATCTAGCAAATCCTTGATAGTATTTATTGGGTGTACCCTCAGGGCTCCAGATATTTTTCATGATGAGGAGTATGTACTCCTTCTATTTTCAATATGGGAGTACTGGAAAACAATAAGAGTACACTTAGAGTACTGAATGGAATTTTATGGAATATCAGTAATCTTGTGTTCCATTTCATATATGCACCACAACTTTGCTACTCTTGTGTAAACAGGTCAATAAACAATGAAACAATACTTCTTCAGAACGTTCGTCTGTAAATGATTCTAAGACCGTACACCATTGCTGTGGTGCGTATCTGCTAAGTGTTCTAAATTATTTCCTACCGTATCGTGCCTATTTTATATCCGTACATACGCCGATATGGCCCTTATCTGGAGCCCTTGTGTCCCTTGACAGCACAGGTTTGTAAGTAATGGTAAAATCCATGCACTAAAAACGTTAAATTTGTTGACAGATATAGAGGCAGTGAAAAGAATTAGTTAAAGATCCATTCAGCTAGAATGTTTTCTGTAATAGTTTCTATGCAGTCACCATGGTTACATATTTTTTCTACAAAGCTGTTTTTACTTAATCATGGCAATATTTTTGGCATTTCATAAGGATAACATACAGATTTGTCTTAAAGCTGCCCAAGGGGTGCTTTTAGAGCGATGGTGCTAAATCATTTGTAAATAGAATGAATTTGGTATGTGATATGTACCCATGCTGGGAGTTGAGTCTTTAACATTACAAACAAACACTTTAACTACTAAGCTACACCACTGCTCCCCTAACCATAAATGGAACCCGCACAGTCAGTTAGATTCAAAGAGAATGACAGACATGTCCATCTTATTGGCGGATCCAGAGGGTTGGGGGACCCCCAGGGGGAATATTTTGGGAGGAGTCCATTTTCAAAATTGGAAGTACATCAATTTGCATGAAATCAATTATCATGGACACTTCCCATTTAATAAAAGAATAATGATTGTAATCAGAATATATTTTAATATGGGATATTATTACAAACTCAGAAAGTCCTTTCCCAGAAAAAAATTGTATTGGGTCCACAAGGACGCACCCTATTTCAGTTTGGGGGTACTTTATCAAATTTCTTCGTCCAATACGCAGGAATCACCTACTGCCTAGCCCTCTCTGCAGTGCTAAAGCCCTAAATAGAGCAAGTCTAGATTTCCTCAGGTTCTGAATCTCTGGTCTCCCTGGGGTCCTTTTCAATATAAATGGGCTTGTTTGTTACCATCAAAATTATATATATTAAGAGACTAAGCTTTAGTCTACGTCTCACTCACAACTAAGGTATTTCGGGCGACGGTCAACCATTGGCTCTATTATGGTACCTCTTCCTTATCAAACAATCATACAGTCGAGCACCGCTGTCTCGATATTCATGGGACCAAGAAAAAAATATCGAATTATCCGAAATTCGAGACAGCCAACACCATCCGACCAGGGCATATCATTTCATATCAATATGAAAGAAAACAAAATGCTTCTCAGTTTGTTTTGATTGGAAACTATAAGCTGTCATCATGAATTGTGTTTATTCGTAACAGTGAGTACTTCCTAATTAATTCCTTCTTAATTAATCCTAATTAAATAACAAACAAGTGACACCTTCAACTCAATTAGCCCTAATTAGTTTACACTACCGCATCCCTTTGACTCATGCCACACCGTGTGTAAACGTGTGGAAACAACCTCAGTTCAGAGGGATACTTGCCCATGCAAGGAAGGTGAATATTGAGTTTCTTTGCAAATATCATGTTAAAATGGTCAGTTTGCTTGTTGGGACCATGAAATTATATTGAGATATCCAAAATATCAAGACATCCATATCGAGTTAAAAGAGCTTGAATAATGATAAATTATGAAGGATCTTGCTGGGACCGAGATGTTATATTGAGACAACCGAGATATCAAGTTATCAGAGTTTGACACAACGGTGCTCGACTGTATAATTTAAGGTTAGGCACCCAATTCTGATCAAACACCTCTTGCAAGTTAAGGTGTGGGTTAGCTATATCTGTTGACAAATCAGTGTAAATGGAGTAAAATCTGTACAATTTTATATGGAATTTAGTTTTTTAGAGAATCTGGCAACTGCTCAAGAAGGTAAATAATTAGGTCATAATCACTTGGTAAGAAAGCAATAAATACTAAGTGGTAATCTAAGGGTAAAGAGGTGGCTAAATGGATTAACTCAGCTTGCTTCACGAGTCAGTTCCATTCTCCACATGCTGCTAATTAAAAACAAGACTCAGACACCCAAGTCGTATGAGGACAGTAAATATCATAACTTTCCACTGATTTATCTGGTCTGTTGTCCGCTATCTGTTGTGTAAAAAAGACCTCCTGTCATGATACAAGATAATAAAACCAACAAATGACAAGATCGTATTCACACTCACAGTACTTGTAACAGTAATACAAGCTAGTCAAGCTAAGGTCAGACATTCTGTTCATTAGGTCAAGCTAACTTACATCAGCAGAAATTGCCTCCATAACATTACGGCATTATGTAGTCACCATTTCTACATCTGAACAATAATTATCATGGATATCTTTTCAGGGATCACTAACACAAAACTCTTCCTGTTATGCATACAAATTTCCTGCCGATTCTGTCTCGTACCATGTTACATTTCACAATGCAGATATTCATGAGCGAGGATGTCTTAACAGCCTACTACATGAGAGGAAAATGTTCCATGCTGAAATTGTGAAACTAAAACACAGTCTCTATTAACATAATTATAATGATTACACCTAACATTAAACTTGTTACCATGATTGATGTTAATCAAAGTACTTAACAGCTTTATCAAACTAGCTGACTTAAACACCACTGACCAAATCATTAAGGATATATTTCACTAAACATAGAACCATTACACCAAGTGTTCACAATCGTATTATCATTAAATCAAAAATGGAAGTGTTTAGTCTAATTTAATTTAATAATAGCCATAGGTAAGTTAGATGGTACGATTTTGAGATGTGTCACATTAAATCTGTTTCGTGAAAAAGGTGATTATGAGAAACAAATCAGTGCCACGCCCCTTTCTAGTGACAAGAGTCACGGTGCATGCATCTGCTTGCAAGTCACGTGAATAATGTCGACACATCAAGTGTTCTATCACTTGTTGATTTCAAACTGGAAAACTTACGATTACACAGGCCTTCGCTAAGCTTACGGCTCCCCGGCATCCAAACGTTGTTTCTGTTTCGGACTTGTAGTAACTAAGCGTCCCATCTTTGAGTACAATATATCTATCTTGCCAACCATGTAAATAGTTTGTCCATTTGCTCAGCGTGCCGTGTTTATCCGGGACATGGGCTTCTTCTTCGAATTCGTCTTCATCATCTGTGAGACTCAAAATGTCTCTTTCTTCGGACATATTTTCTAGTGTCTTAAAATTCGTTTCTGGCTCATAGCCAGAACCTAGGGGCTCGAAATGTTAGGTGCATTCACGGTTACATGTCACGTTTCCACATAGTAAACACATCTACTTTCGCCATTTTGCTTGGGTCATGATGTCAAATGACGTCATACAGGAAGTCACGGGAGACAACTCCGTTTCTGCAATTTGAACCCACTAAACATTTTATGTTGCATTTTCATGCCTTCAGATTTGATAGATAATTAACTATCATCAACTATAAGATTTCTTTTTTGTCTTAAATTGATATGTTTGTCTACTGCAAATTTCGTATAGTCTAGATGTGGCAAAAACGACCAACCGCCTTAACTAGATCAACTTTTCTATCTTGATGTTGCAAAATAAATACCCCACGTTGTCATATACATCATACCAACGTATACTGTACATAGATCTATGTCAGCTGTAGTCTCCTTCGGTTCTCGAGGGGTCGCTCATTAGACAGTATTTTTCCTGACATTTACAAACTTTGTAATAAGGTTTTCATTTCAACTGCATGAATAAACACAAGTCACGACTGGTTTAAGTGACCTTTCTAACATCAAAACGTTTTGACGTTTCCGATGTGAAACAGACAGAAAATTTGGTTTAAAGTACTGGTGTAAAGTAATAAATATGCCAGAACATCGTCTGCCCAAAAAAACCTACAATATGATTGTCCATCTTGATAATATTGGTAAAAATACTTGGGCAACCCGTATTCGTATTCTTTTGTTTAGATACGGCTTTGGATTTGTTTGGCTATCCCAAACCCTGGGCGACGTTAATGCATTTATCAAACTCTTTCGTACCAGGGCTATTGATATCTTTAAACAAGACTGGCATTCATCTTTATATGAAAGTTCAAGATATGATTGCTATCGTGAGTTTAAATCTTTACTTGAACCTGAGTCGTATCTATACAACTTACGTAGTAAAAAGCTTCGTAGTGATTTCATGCGCCTGACACTTGGCCTAAATGATTTATATATCAATCAAGGAAGATATTCATCTATTATAAAATCACAAAGGTTCTGTCCATTTTGTAATACTGTAGAGAATGAATTACACTTTCTATTTCTTTGTCCTGCATATAATGATTTAAGGCAACTGTATTTTCCGCAATGGCTACAATCAAATATTAATGCTACAAAACTGTATTCAATACTTTCATGTAAAGCATCCCTATTACAATATAAGGTAGCTCTATTTATTTATCACGCGCTTATATTGAGAAGAGATTCAATGTAACGTGTGTGTCGCATGTTGTATATGTTGTACATATCATACATATTTATTCTGTATATGGGCCTCTGGCCTTCATGCAATAAACTGATACTAACATCAAAACGTTTTGACGTTTCCGATGTGAAACAGACAGAAAATTTGGTGGGTTTTTATGTTATTGAAAACTGAAAGAACCGTTATTAACATTTAATAAGTCCCTTAAACTATCACTCTTTCTGGCAGCATTTGCAAAAAGTAATTTGTGGGTGGGGAATTGTATCTGAAGTGGTCACCTGACGGCCGAGTAATTAGTGAATGTGCAGCCAGATGATCCCTACCCTGCTCCAAATGTTGTAAATGTGTCTCCAAGAAAACAGTTTTATAAAAGTTGAAAGATAATATATCTAAGGTACATTCCTTTAAAGTTTTCAATCAAATTATTTATATTTTTAAAATACATACAAGAGAACGAAAGGCAAGAGTTAACTGAAACCATATGCATGTTGACACGAAAGAGGCATTCCAATTAAAATATGGAAGCAATCTCGGCATTAACGAAAAAATGATACAATAAAGATTAAAGAGATAATTGGTCTGAATGGATTGGAAGAACGTATGCTGGTCGTAATTTGTGTCCACTAGTTAACAAGGAATCGGTGGCCTGACTCTGTAACTCCCAAGGTTGAGTCAACGATAATTTGGAGGCTTAATAATATGGAAGAACTGTCAAAAGTACATTTATATGCTTGCAAACGTTTTCTAAACGTTAAGTTATCAACGTCCAATAATGAAGTATTAGCCGAGTGGTAGATATCCAATTCAATTACCTGCTGTTTTAAAATGTATTAAATATTGGTTAAATCTTATTAACATGCCCGAAAGCCGTTTGCCTCGAAAATGTTACAATATGATGCGTATGTATGATGAGCAAGCCTATGAGAGCTGGGTTACCAAAGTTATAAATATCATATTTAAATTAGGTTTTGGTCATGTTTGGGTATCACATACCTACGGAGATAAAAACGTTTTTGTTAAATTGTTTTTTCAACGACTGAAAGATAATATTCGGCAAGTTTGGCACAGTGATTTATCTGAGAGACCAAAAATGTTTACGTATTGTAATGTTTTAAATCAACAATTTCTTGTGAAACATATTTAACTCATTACTGCATCCAAATATAGATCTTGTTTATCAAGATTTAGGTTAAGTTCCCGTAGTTTAGAAATTGAAAGAGGTCGTTACTATAACATTAAACGTAACTGAAAATGAATATCACTTCTTACTTATCTTTTGTTGCAATTCTAAGTTTTCCCCCAATATACTAAAATTTAATTCGCTGTTATCATCCAAAAATGTAGACATTTCCTTGAATACTGCTAAATATTTGTTTTATGCATTAGAAAAAAGGAAATCAATGTTGTCATATTAAGACTGTATATGTTGTACATGCTTTCATTGTTATCATTATATTTCATGTCTGCACCGATGAGGTGTTTTTGTACTCATAGGCCCGTGGCCGAGATATATAGCTGTAATATTTCCGATGAGGCGCAAAAGAAAAAATGAAACACCATCCATTCATTCGATCGTTTGTATGGGTGTTTTTTGTTATGTTTTTTTTAAAGTGGAAGATATTTTTCTCTCGTCATGGCATGACATTTTCCGTATGCATTTAACACCTTTGAATCAATTTTCAATTCTGTTTTATCCACACCCAGTTTCATATACTAGTATTCATGTTAAACCAACTTCTTATGCAAATCGGGGCGGTCGGGTAGTCTGGTGGTTAAAGCGTTGGCTCGTCACGCCGAAGACCCGGGTTCGATTCCCCACATGGGCACAATGTGAAGCCCATTTCTGGTGTCCCCCGCCGTGATATTGCTGGAATATTGCTAAAAGCGGCGTAAAACTAAACTCAGTCAGTCTGGTGGTTAAAGCGTTCACGTAGCACACGCCTAAGACCGGGGTTCGTCACATGGACGCAATGTGTGAAGCCCATTTCTTGTGCCTTTCCGCAGTGATATTGCTGAAATACTTATTGCTCAATAACACACTCATGATCACTCACTCTGTAATAATGGCCGTATTTTCGTTGTCCGTCGATTAACGTCATCTCCGGGTCTGCAAGGCAAATCAACAGGACGAGAACAAACACACGAAAGACAGTCACGAACACACGCACCCGCTTGCAAAGGCTCCACACACTCGCACGCACGCACGTACGCACTGTATTTGTACAATAACCGGGAACAAACGTTGAAACCGATTTCAAATGCTATCACCATTTCCAGAAAGCCGTGTCCGTCTGGGTGTATGTTTTAAAATAGTTTTTATATGATGAAGTATATCCCATAAACATCCCTGCTGTCTGTGTTAACGGAATGCATGAGCTGACGTCGCGGGCCATGTAGGCGAAGTGGGGCATGTGGGGGCTGACGACGTGACAAGAGGCAGACGGGTCACAGATGAGGTCAGCGATGTGCAGATAAAGCTGGCGGCGGGCCAAGCCAATATACTCCACTCGCTGCGCAATCAGTCAACAGACACCAAGTCAACACCGACAATGGCCCGTTTGACTGATTTTGTTTGTTTTGTTGTCTCACGCCACGCTCAGCAATATTCCAGCTATATGTGGCGACCCACTATATAAACTGAAACAGCCAGACATCCTACTTGAGTGAGTGAGGTTTTACGCCGATTTAAGCAATATTCCAGCAATATCACGGCAAGGAACACCGGAAATAGGCTTCACATTTGGGGATTCGAACCCGGGCGAACGCTTTAACCACTAGGTTACCCCACCGCCCCTGGAAATATGTACGTTGAAATGAAGACAATGTTTGACATCTGTTCCTGTGTGGTCCTGGTGATGTATAAACCCGGTGTTGTTGACGTTGTTATCGCATAAACAACTAAATTAAATTTTTAAAAAATAATTTTTATTGCCAAGACATACATAACAACTAAATTAATGGTCAAGAAACTCATCAAACTGATCGTACCGTATGTACATTCTCAACGATAGGGGCACAATGTGTCAAGCTCATTTCTGTTGTCCCCCGCAGTGATATTACTGGAATATTGCTAAAAGCGGCGTAAAACTAAACTCACTCACTCAAGGAGAGCTTATAGCGAATTCACCTACGGTCAGCCTTTCAACAATAGACTGGTTCCTGTCAGTACTGCGCTGTGACTCTTTTATTCGGTGATGATACAAAACATTTTAGCCAGAGGGTCAACATTGAAATTCCCTTTGGTTAGACACAATATTTTCACAGAGGACAAACAACACAAAATGCTTTGGATTCCGTTTCTCTGAAAACATAAAAGAAAAACACAAAAATGTTCAAAAGTGTCGCTAACTGATCAAAGTCAAAATTTAAACTAAATGACAAACATTTCAGGCTCGACTATATCACCGTCAATTTTCTGCTGAAGTTATAGACGCTTATACATATATAATCCCAACAAATCAAACAATTGATATCAAAGTGTTCCAGCAAATAGAGACTTCAATATCCTGGTGCACATTGATCTGGTAACCTCAGTATTACGATGAACGGACATGGGATGTAGTCGTGGACACGACGTGCATGAGGGGCTTGAAAACCTGGGTATTTATATATTGTTTTCTTTCCTATGGATCGTTACTCATCATTGACGCCGTTACCAGGCAGCACAACGACACTTAATTGTTACCGAGGGCTGCAACAACTGAATGCTCTTATGCCCGCTAATGGCCATAGGTGTCATTTGACGACTGAAGAATTAGGCAGATGCAATGGGCCTGCTTGGAACTAATGTTTATGTAAATGCCCGTAAAGAGTGGCCAGCCCGGTCACCAAAACCCAACCCTATCGAACCCTTGTGGGACGAGATGCAGAACGTCCCATCACGACGTGTTGTTGTTCCGGCAACTCTACGGGAACTCGGCAGTGCTTTTAATGCACTCTCCTACCCAGAGTTCCATGCGGCAAGCCAGCATAGTACCTCTGCCACAGGCCAGAAAAATGTGACGATTCGTCACATCTTGCAATGTCCATTCAATAATGTACAGAATCCATTTACTCTTTTATTTTTGACGAGTCTACACATCTAACTAAACATCTTTAATAGTTTAGTTTCACTGAGAAAATATCCAAAAACGTGTAACACTATTTCGATTTGCGTAGCGATCCTTTGAATACATAGGTTGTACGGCTCCACGTGCTGTCATCGAAGCTGATGCAGAGCAAACGATGCAGCCAGTTTGATATCTAAATATGTACTGTCATAGACCTTACTGTCGCAGTTGTGGAAGAATATATATGTAACAATGTAAAATATTATGAAGTGAGCGCCGAAAAGCTTTCGTGAGTCCAGTCCCTTCTTTTTATGAATATGCGTGTTTGATTATAAACAAGAGAAAAGTCCGGTCACGTGATATGCAAATTAGCCTGTGGCAGTGATGTTATGTTAAGTCATCGCTGTGCCGGAGTGCTTTTAATGAAGAGTGGGACAATGTCCCCTTGGCAACCATCCAGACATGAGACGACAGTGCTAGCTTATGATCGCGTCCCGTGGATAATACATGCGCTACTGAGAGTTGAATGAATTCGCGAAATATTGGTTTAGGGCTACTTTAGAAGATGCACACAATTTGATTTATTGCCTTTACAGTGGCAGATCCTCACATTCATCAACCAAAATATAATAGTGTTTATTTCTTGGAATTAATACGGGAAAAGGCATGTGGGTGGCCGCAGCGGTATATATCTGTGACTATTTTTACTAGAAACACAAACTAATGATTTCAAGTGATCATAACTTATCCTATCGTTTGTCTGTGTCACTGTCAGATTGTAAAATGACTCATTGTGTAATATATATGAACATCCTAAATAATTCAGTTTCTTTAGAGACTGACTGAACAAATGTTCATTTATTTTATCGTGATAACGCGATATGGCTTACATATTTCCGATGTCACTTAAAATATTAACTCACTCATTAACTTACTGTGATAACGGATTCGAAACATTTTTTTGTTCTATTTCATTACTCGACACATATATTAATAGGATTAAGGGAAACGAAAGTCAGTGTGCTATTTAATAGTTTTTTACGTATAATCCTAGCATAATTAGTCTACTGTGATGTTTAAGCCATGTGGTACTTCTTATTTTTTCAAACATTTAGACCTTTTATAAAAATTGCCTGCATGAATCGTCTGGAATTGTCTGTCTTGTTCGGGGAATGGAGATATACATCACCCCGGTTGGAATACGCTGGCTTGTACTGGGTCCCAGCATCTAAGAACACCCACAAAAGGGGCACATGTCCGAGTACTTAAGGGACCAGTTCAATGTCCGTTGACGACCTGTGTATCGTCATCTTGCAGTTCCAAATTTCTGCCGATGATTCCAGCCAGCAATTAGTGACCAGTCAAATGTCAATTCACAATAACAGGAACGGTTCGGCTACCATGTGGGTAGACTGTCATACAGATCCTGAAGCAAATATATCCAAGAAAGCCCACGCAAGTCTAGAAAATGAGGCAAGTCTAGATAGAAAATGAAGGAAGTCTCTGGGCTCCTTTTTTTGTATTTATAATTTTAATTCAAAAACTTTTATTTTCTGTAAAATATGTTAATTTCAGAGACTAGCTGTTGGTCTACCATGTGGGATTCCGCAATGACACTAATGACCCCATGTCGATCATGGTCAAGACGGGTTTCACACACACACACACACTCACACGCACGTCAACAACGTTTTCCTCCCTTCTGTGAATCGGATGCCAAACCTTGATTCGTCTTATAAATACGGTGTTGCCAAGATCATCCCAATCTTTGTCGCCTTCGGTAACAAGACGCCATTATTTAAAACATTAGACGATGAACTGCCCCTTCCTTCCAAACATCCGGTTACCTCGGGATTTTGTGTTTTGAAGTCATCTGACACAATATTACTTCTTTTTGCTGGTATGTCGTTACTACACTGACTTAAGGACAAAATATCTACAACAATGTTACCATGCCTATGCTACTACGTGTAAATTTAATTTGTTAATGAACTGTAATAATACAACTTATATTCGCAAACTTGGTATGTATATCCACCATGCTTTTGTACATAGAAAACAACGCCCGCAAACATTGTGATTGTATGCCATTATTGCTAGCTGACTTTGTACCATTGGCCTGTGGCCTCTTCCGTACTGGAATAAAAGAGATACTAACACCCGAAGTCAGCTGGTGGCCCCTAGATATCGCACGTGCATCAAATATCCTTTTAATCGGCATCAGTTAAATGAACAACCGTAATATATGCTGATGTATTAAATATTGGCAACTGTATCAACCGTTCAACTTGGAGTAGAAGCTCACGCATGTTAGAACTAGAAACTCCGCCCATCGCTATACTTGTGATGTTGACCAGAGCAAGCGTTGTCAGCGAGTATTTGTTGTTGTTGTTGTTGTGTATGTATGTTGCATATTACGTTCTGGAACATCTTCAAAACCACGAGGAGCGGCTTCCCTCACGATAACACAATGACATCATTTGTGACCCATTCGTGTTATTCCGGGACTTCTTGGAGGTTACGGAAAGGGGCGAGTTGTGACGAATGGAATACAGTGACATGCGCTACAAAAAAGATGGACGACAGACAGACAGACAGACAGACATGGCTGTCTGCTGACTGCTGGGTACGGGATCGTATAGAGCTTGCAGCCAACAGGGATGTCCAAAGAAGATTGATCTTGCACGATGCCTGAGACAGGGTTGCTACCGAATTTGATTCTGGGAAGTCGACTGGTTTCGTAATGGGTTACTACGTCGTCAGTAACTCCGCGTCCGGCGGCGCCTCGACCTCTCTACGACATCCGGTGCTTGACCTGCGTATACTAGTTTCACTAGAAGGGCAGAAAGCGATAGCCAAAATGTCCGGAGTAAATACAGTTGTTGAATGAATTATAATTAAGGTCACTTGCAGAAACACCAAGTGAACATAGTTGACTTACACCAGGGATAATTAATCTACAACATTATATAGTCTTCCTGCTTAGACACATGCAATGGTATAGGAGTATTTAATGCCTTTTCTTGACATTTTAGAATTCATAGTAAATAATAGTTGTCTAATTCTCATTCTGGATCGTGAAGCAAGAAATCGATACCTGGTACCCCTGTTTCACGGATGTTGGGAGTACAATTTCAGTTGCATATGAAGATCTTTGAGATTTTACGACCGCTTCCTCGGGATACCTTTCCCCGGAACCCAGCTATATGAGGACCGACACTGTATCACCTAACCTTTGCCAAATGGAAAGAGTGTCAACACTGCAATCACCTGTCTTGTACACAACTGCAGGAGGCCGACACATCACTACATTGTAGTTCCTCTTTCCTATGAATTGACACAATAGTGAATACAACTGAAATATGATAAATGTTTATTTAAACCTTTATTTTATCCATGTGTTGAAAGACAAGCATTACTATTATATGTATGTAAGATAAAGTTATCAAAAGAAAACAACCAATAAAGTATGAACAACAATCTCCATTTATATGAAGTATAAGCTCAGCATGAGTCAATGTTGAGGGAGACCTTGTGTTGAGGTTGCATCATACATTTTGCCCAGTTATATCATAACAAACCAAGATAACCTGACTGGAGTCCAAGACGCGATCATGACATCCTGGCACTCCAAGGGATGCAACTCTACTAGTGCAGTGCTTTTGACAACCAGGCCACCTCTGCCCCTCTTCAAGGTATGAAAAGTTGATGGTTATTCATGGTCTCAGGCCTTGTGTTCAAAGCTTGAAGGATTTGATGATTTCTGTGTTCACATTGGATGTGTTCAAGGCATGAGTGACAGTTTTGCGAGACCAAGTGATCAAGGCTTGAAGAAGGAGTTCAGTCTCGGGCCTTGTGTTCAAGGCTGGAAGGACTTGATGATTTACTGTGTTCTCACTGGATGTGTTCAAGGCCTTGTTTGTGAGACCATGTGATCAAGGCTTGAAGAAAGAGTAAATGGTTTTCATCTGCCCACAGCTAGACCTCTTCTTCTTGGTTGGCGGAGGCTGTGATGGACTTGTGGACGAGGTGGGTCTGGGGAAGGAAGCATATTTTTGGTTGAGACATTTGTTTGTTGTGATGCAACATTCAGCAATATCATGTCGTTCGCAAATAATCAAGTCTGGACTGGACAATCCAGTGACTGAAATCATGAGCATCGATCTATGCAGGGTTGCAATAACATAAAATCAACAGTCAGAGATTCACCCATTCCTGTTAATGACATCTTACAACCAGCTAGGCTTGCTGACAACCAGTGCTAAGCCGTATCTTCATGGGGTGCTTCAAACAATTAGTCCAGATTGAAAAAGAAAGAATCATTCCCAAATTTGTGCTGAACAAGTCAATGTCCTAGTAAACTAGAACTGATCTGATATCATGAGCATATCAGAATATGGAGCATGTTGACATATAGTTTGTTTTAGCAACAATCAACAACAATGTGACAGCTGTTTTAAATAATCAACTTGTGTGTTAGATAGATCAATGGCTACATAGCAATTCCTTGAAAAATGACCCAGTCTGACCTCACAATCAGCATAGATTACTTGGGAAGAATTTTCACAAGGAAATGTCAACAACATAAACAAACTAGACTTGAATGGGATAGTTTTTTAAAAATGTAATTTTTTAAGTAAAATTGATATTTTATACTTATCCTGACTCATGATCTTTTGCTTATCTTACAGGAATTACAAAACCTGTTTAATAACCCTTTAGCTGAAAAATGTTTGTTGTCATAAACTGTGCAATTTTCATACACTTTACCAGGGACTTAAATAGATTAATCTGAATTGAAACATGCCCTGGGCCTTGTGGGACTGCTTACCTCTTTGCAGGCGGGGAGTCACTTATCTTCTGTTCCTCAAGGATCTGCTTGATTGCCCGTCTGCTCAAACATGAGTCTACGTGTTCATTGAAGTCCTCCAGACTACAACCAATCTTCTCCACATTGCAGATAGGACAGGCATAGAACTCAGCTTCTTGATGAGGAACTGCCTGATCAGGTGCTGTATCAGTACCAGAATACTCTACAGCATTCACCTCACCTTGGTCAGCTTCAGGATTAGTCCCTTCAGTTGGTTCACAGGAGCCTCCAGTGTCAGTCCCATTCAGTGTAGAGTGTTGCCAGTCAGCTTCCCTATCTCCCAGGTGGGATGGAATCTTCCCGGACGGTACTCTGTTACTTTTGGATTGATTTTGCTGAGAAGGCTCAAAAGAATCAACCATCTTTGAAGTTTCATTATTGTTTGTTTCCAGTTGAGGAAACTTTGGAATGGCATGTTTAATTGATGTGTGATCCCTCTCTGAAGATCTGGCTACATAAGTAAGCCCTTCACCACCAGCCTTGTGATCTTCCTCATCAGTGACAACATTCTTCTGGTGGTCCTTCTGAGACGAGATTTGTCTGAAGAGGCAGACATCAACATGATCGTTGAAATAATTAAGGTTCTTGCACTCAACCACTTGCTGACATACCGGACACTGGAAAACCTTGAGATTCTGAACATCCTCAGAAGAACTTCCAGCAGAAGGATCACTCTTAACAGAACCATCAGGTGACGGAACATTATCAGAACCTCCATGATGGCTCTTATTATGTTCAGGCAAGTCTGCACATTGACCTGTAGATGACCAGTGCTCTGCCTGTTTTGCACTCTCATAACCAGAAGATTCTCCACTCTGTTCAGCTGGGTGACTGTTGACATCCAGATCAGTTTGCCGTTTCCTCTTGCCCTTCTGTCCTGATGCTTTCCCTCTGCCAGATCCTTTGGAATCGGAGTAACAACTCTGGACGTCATCAAATGTGTCATGGTTCACTTCACCTACAGCTGTTTTCTTATCAATGTCTGTCCCTACAAGATCTGCCAGTGCTACTGACTGTGGGTGTGTTTTAGGATTTGTTTTCTTCCTGGTATTTCTAGATCGACCTTTAACAGGTTTAGGTTTTCTTATGACTGCCGCAAGCTCAGATATGCTTCTTTTTGCAGAACATTCTTTCTCAATGTCCTTATCATCAGTTCCTGCAATTCTTATACCATCTTGACATTGTGTGTCAGGGGTCTCATTGCCAGTTCCATCACACACATCACTGAAATAGACAGGCAGCTGAGGAAGGTCCATTTGCCTTGAATCAATATGGCGGACAGAATCTAATGTCTGAGTCTTCTGTGGGCTCCTGGCCGCCATCTTCTTGAACAGTCCTGTAATCGTGTCTTGACGTTTCATACCACACGAACTCTGATGGAGGAGGTTGGACAATCTCACACCTGGGATCAGAATTTATTTAATACAAATCACACATAACAAAAACAATCAAATCAAATCAGTCATTACAATCTGCATGTCAAAGATGAGTGAGTTTGGTTTTACACCGCTTTTAGCAATATTCCAGCAATATGACAGTGGGGGACACCAGAAATGGCCTTTACACATTGTACACACGTGGGGAATCAAAGCCGGGTCTACTGTGTGACGAGCGAACACCTTAACAACATGGCTACCCCCATCGCCCCTATTTACTGAGGAACTGAGCACTAAATATTTGACATGTGGGTGACATTGAGGGGTGGAAGGGAGCGAGTTATTTTTAGCGAGCCAGAACCCCAGAAGTCATATGAGGTACCCATGAGTCGGAGCCGGAGGGCCTGAGGCTGCACAGCTTGAATCTCCACCCTGAGCAGCTCCCGGGCCGCAGTGAAGATGTCCTGGTACTCAGCTGTGTGATGAGCAAGACTGTGAGCCCGGGTCTTCACCTCAAATTTCACCGTCTTGATCTTGATACTCACCGTCTTACCCTGAAATCAGTAACATTTGAACACATTTGTGTATACTAGTGCAGAGTAATTTCCTTATTTTAAAGGGCGATGCTTAAGAACACAAGTAGAGTTACCTACCCTGACTTCCTGCTGCCCGAGGTCCTCCACCAGGGCAGCACACAGCTCGGAACACTTCTTGTAGAGGTCACTAGGCCGACTCAGTTCACTGAATGTCCTGGAATGAGATATCTTCTGTCAGGGAAGGGTCAATTTCAGCAGAATTACAGCTATATCCCAGCAACATTGCAGCAATATTCCAACAGCATTACAGCAATCAGCGTTTCAATACTCTGCCAACATTGTTTAGTTCTGGGGCTCCTTTCACGAAGCAACCTTTACTAAGGTTAACCTTAACTTCCATTCTTTAACATTGCACTAAGGTTACCATAGTGACTTACGACAACCTTAGTGCTTCGTGAAAGGAGGCCCTAGTCTGTAGTGCAATGGCCTTTGGCTCCAAAGAGTGAGTGAGTTTAGTTTTACGCCGCACTCAGCAATATTCCAGCTATATGGCAGCGGTCTGCAAATAATCGAGTCTGGACAGTCTGCTCACTGTTCTTTGGAGCCAAGACCCGTGAAGATCCGGGGTACAATAGGTATTCAGCAACCCATGCTTGCCACAAAAGGCGGCTATGTTTGTCGTAAGAGGCGACTAATGGGATCGGGTAAACAGACTTGCTGACTTGGTTGACACATGTCATCAGTTCCCAATTGCACAGATCGATGCTCATGCTGTTGATCACTGGATTGTCTGGTCCAGACTTGATTATTTACAGACCGCCGCCATAAAGCTGGAATATTGCTGAGTGCGGCGTAAAACTAAACTCACACTCACTGTACTGTACAGCCCTATCGTTTCACCACCAATATTTCATACATTCTGTCATTTCTGGACATAGGTGAGGTGAGGTGAAATTGGATTTAACGTCGTGCTTGAGAATATTTCGCTCATATGACGACGTGCATGCGTGTGTATGTGTATGTATTGCTGCTTGTACTAGCCCAGACTGAAGCTGGTTTTATAGTGCTAGCCCACTGAGATACCATGCCGCAGTGAAGCATGAATACCCCATTCAGACACATTATACTGACTCCGAGCCGACCAGTCCTTGTTGTACCCATTAATGCCGAACGCCAGGCAGGGACCAACAAGTACCATATTTTAACGTCTTTTGGTATGACGCGGTCGGGGATCGAACCCGCGACCTTCCGCTCTCAGGGCGGACGCTCTAACCACTACACCACAGAGGCGGTCTCTGGACATAGTGGTATATGACAAGATCCTGGTACCATTGTACAAAGCAGCATAGGCGGATCCAGAGAGAGGGGTGTGCACACCCTTTTGTCCTGAAAGTTTATCAAATGACCATTGAAACTTGAGTGAAACTGTATCGACCCCTGCTAGTCTGATCACCTTACCACAAAGATTGCTTTATACAATGGCACCCTGATGTTAATGACATTGGCAAAATATCAAGTGAAAGAATGGGCAATGGCCCACTTCACTGCTTCAAACTTAAATTTTCAACTTAGTAAAATCGTAGATAAAGAGATAATCTTACCGTTCTGTACTTATGCTTTTCCGCTCACTGTCTCTGAAATTACAATTTGAAAAAAACTGAAACATAACTTAAAACATAAAGGACATTAATGTACAGCTTTAAAAACAGTGATTGGAAAGGTTGTCACATGCAGAACATTAACACACATCAGTAAAGGAATCTGTTAGGCCTCCCACATCTATATTAGTGGACCGGATTCGATCCCCGACCGCATCATACCAAAAGACATTAAAATATGGTACTTGTTGGTCCCTGCCTGGCGCACGGCATTACTGGGTACAACAAGGACTGGTCGGCTCGGACTCAGTATAATGTGTCTGAGTAGGGTATTCATGCTTCACTACGGCATGGTATCTCAGTGGGCTAGCACTAAAAAAACAACTTAAGTCTGGGCTAGTACAAGCAGCTGCACATACACACGCATGCATGTCGTCATATGAGCGAAATATTCTCCAGCACGACGTTAATCCCAATTTCACCTCACCTGTATTCAGGATTTGGGTGTACACCTGCTTTAACAGTAATCCTACTAATCCAGTAACATCATGGTGTCAGAATTTGAAACAAAAGAAAATACCAGGCTGGCTTCAGAACTTACAGACAGTAGATGCTGCAGGCTGTGACTTAACTCTTCAGCCTTCATTTAAAAACCTCCAGCATATTGTGACAGACAGGTATATTTACTACAGGCCCAACCTGTCATGTGAAACTGCCAGCCTCACATTAGCTCTACCTGCCACATGCCTGCAAGTAGATGCTTATGTCAAACACTGCATGGTGTGTCAACTTGGTGGTGGTGTGTGGTCCTGTGCATGGAGCTCAGGTCACAAATCAGTTGAAGTTAAGCAGCGTTGGGTGCGGAGAATCCTTGGATGGGTGACCGTGTTCGGCAACTAGACTCCTGAGAGATTCTCGGACTTCAGTCGTGCCCCACAACAAAGCACATGTGATACATATGGTCTCACCTTAGGCAAGTGAGTTTGTTCAAAATTGCCTCTGTTCACCTGGTGGGTACCCAGTGGTATAAGTCATGTGACTATAACCTTCTAGCGCCTCACAGGCAGCTTGGGTTATCCGGGGTAATAATGAACTGTCTGTTTGTATGCACTTTGAGCATGCACTTGGTGTATGGAATTTAGGAATACAGATGTACACATCATTATCATTATCATTGTAACTTGATAGGGGCAGGCCTTGGATGTTTACCAGTTCAGCGAAACCTAGAAACGTATCTGGGATTCAAACCCAGAATAAGTTTCTTCACAGATATGAGCATGATGAGTAGTTTGTTCAGACACATTTTGTAAAGCAGAGAAATGTTTACTAGTTGTGCTTCAGAATGGGAGCGCTGTGATATGCCGCCATTACATATCAATTCATAATATATCAAAGCAGGGCTCCAGATAATTTTTCAACATCAGGAGTACGTACTCCTTATTTTTTCAATATAAGAGTACTGGAAAACCTTAAGAGTACATTTAGAGTACTGAATGGAATTTAATGGAGTATCAGTAATCTTATGTTTCGTTTCATATATGCACCACAACATTGCTGCTCTTGTGTAAACAGGTCAATAAACAATAAAACAATACTTTTTCCGATAAATACGAGTGTAAATGATTCTAAGACTGTACATCATTGCTGTGGTGCGTATCTGCTACGCTTTTCAAAATATTTCCTACCGTATCGTGCATATTTTTTATCCGTACATACGCCGATCCGGCCCTTATCTGGAGCCCTGTCAAAGTATTTCTATGATCCCATAAACAACTGTTTGCTGCCATAAACCAGTTTCAGCTGGGGCCCCTAACCATTCAGTATTTACAGTGGTGGCACTGGTGGCAAGGCAGATGCGCATGTAGTGGTTTACAGCCAGTCAAGCTTATTTAATCACCTCTTACAAACAGCATTAGAAAGCCAGGGATGGGGGATTCTAACAAAGCTCTATTTCCTTCCAGACGGTACTGACCTCTCCACAGTGGTGCTGCCGATGGCGAGGCAGATGTGCATGAAGTGGTTGAAGGCCACGGTGGAGTACAAGTGATACAGGAGGCCACGCTTCTCAAACAGGTCCTGGCAGTTGACCACTCCTAGCGATCGTAGCATTGTCTCAGACACTTTACCGATTCCAGGTATCTGCAGGACATAGCATCAGGAATAGTGTGGAATGAAAGTAACTAGGTATAAGAATGTAATGGATTTATAGCTGTTACCATGGGAATGAGAAAAGAATTTGAGGCTTTTTGGAATTCTCTTAAATAACTTGATAACTGACTGACTGACTGACTGAGTTTAGTTTGACGCCGCTTTTAGCAATATTCCAGCAATATCACGGCGGGGGACACCAGAAATGGGCTTAACACATTGTGCCCATGTGGGGAATCGAACCCGGGTCTTCGGCGTGACGAGCCAACGCTTTAACCACTAGGCTACCCCACCGCCCCTAAATAACATGATAACACAAGAGCTGATTTTTATCCTCCTCCACTATTGTAAGGGTTGCAAAGCCTACCTTCCTGATGGGCAGAGCTCTTATGAAGTCCATCACTTGCTGTCTGTCAGGGAGGATGCGGAACTGACCGTTAGGTTTGTTCCGGTCAGAGCACACCTTGGCCAGCATAGTGTTTGGTGCAATACCTAAGACAACAATGTAACAATGGAGATAACAACATATCATGATACTTGGAGTGAGTGAGTGAGTGAGTTGGGTTTTAGGCCGCTTTTAGCAATATTCCAGCAATATCAGTGAACCAGAAATGGGCTTCACACAATGTGCCCATGGGGATCGAACCCGGGCCTTCGGAGAGCGAACGCTTTAACCACTGGGCTACCCCACCGCCCTCATGATACTTGGAACAATAGAGACCACAATACAGTGAAATGCTTAGGATGACAATCAAACAATGGAGACCACAGTACAGTGAAATGCTTGGGATGACAATCAAACAATGGACACCACAATACAGTGAAATGCTTGGGATGTCAATCAAACAATGGACACCACAATACAGTGAAATGCTTGGGATGACAATCAAACAATGGACACCACAATACAGTGAAATGCTTGGGATGACAATCAAACAATGGACACCACAATACAGTGAAATGCTTGGGATGACAATCAAACAATGGAGACCACAATACAGTGAAATGCCTGGGAAGACAATCAAACAATGGAGACCACAATACAGTGAAATACAGTGAAAACAATGCTTGGGACGACAATCAAACAATGGACACCACAATACAGTTACATGCCTGGGATGACAATCAAACAATGGAGACCACAATACAGTGAAATGCTTGGGATGACAATTAAACAATGGAGACCACAATACAGTGAAATGCCTGGGAAGACAATCAAACAATGGAGACCACATTACAGTTATATGCCTGGGACGACAATCAAACAATGGAGACCACAATACAGTTACATGCCTGGGACGACAATCAAACAATGGACACCACAATACAGTTACATGCCTGGGATGACAATCAAACAATGGACACCACAATACAGTGAAATTCTTGGGATGACAATTAAACAATGGAGACCACAATACAGTGAAATGCCTGGGATGACAATCAAACAATGGAGACCACATTACAGTTATATGCCTGGGACGACAATCAAACAATGGAGACCACAATACAGTTACATGCCTGGGATGACAATCAAACAATAGAAACAACAACATATCATGATCCTTGGGACAATTGAGACGACAATACAGTGAAGTGTTTGGGATGACAATCAAACAATGGAGACGACAACATATCATATTTGGGGCACACAGACTACAATACAGTACAATTCATTATAGACTGAGTTTGGTTTTTACAGCAATATTCCAGTACAATTTCATTGTACCCATAATATCTGGGACACTCAATCTATACAATTCATTATAATATCTGGGACAACAATCAAACAATGAAGACTACAAGCCATACTGACTGCAGGAAGCTGCTGTCAAACGTGTACATTGGATAAAGTTTAAGTTGTTAGTTCACTAAAATTGATGTTACCTGCACTTGCTGTGAGCTGCGTCTTCTGCTGAATGCGACACCTCATCTCCTTCACAGCTTCCTCCACACTCTGCCCAAACACCTCAACACTATACCGGGGAAACATCTTGCCGCACCTTGGACACCTGTTTGTGCAGCCAGTCTCACCTCCTTGCAGGTGCTTGTTTGACTGGTCATCTTGCAGGTGCTTGTTTGACTGGTCATCATGCAGGTGCTTGTTTGACTGGTCATCATGCAGGTGCTTGTTTGACTGGTCATCATGCAGGTGCTTGTTTGACTGGTCCTCTTGCAGGTGCTTGTTTGACTGGTCCTCTCGCTGGTGCTTGTCTGATTGGTTACCTTGCAAATGCTTCTCTGACTCGTTATCTTGCAGGTGTTTGTTTGACTGGTCATCTTGCTTGTCATGATCATGGTCGACTTGTTTCGGCAGGGAGACCCCTACAACGCTGTCCCTTAGGATTTCATTCAGGTCACACCCACACCATGCAGGTCCCATTTCATCACATGACCTTACCAAATATGATCTCTGCAAGTCGGTGAGGTTAGCTCTCTGTTTTAGATGTTTTGTGATATCAAGGTAGGCTTCATCAAGGCTCATAGGAGAAAAGTTGGGATCATAGTCAGCAAGGATCTCCCTCACCTGTTTGCTGACAGCAGTGTACTCTTCATAGTTCGGGTTGACCAGGACAAGGTGTGGGCACAGCTTCTTGGCAATAAACCCGGGCATGGCTGCTCTCACTCCGTACTTCCGGGCGTGGTAGTTGGAGGTGGACTGAAACAAAGGCCAGTGTGAGTATCTACTGACAATACATGGTGCGACACACCAGCAACATGAGATGGTGACTTACCAGCAACATGTGATGTGTGACTCCTTCATCAGCAACATGTGATGTGTGACGCCTTCATCAGCAACATGTGATGTGTGACTCCTTCATCAGCAACATTTGATGTGTGACTCCTTCATCAGCAACATGTGATATGTGACTCCTTCATCAGCAACATGTGATACCTGACTCCTTCATCAGCAACATGTGATGTGTGACTCCTTCATCAGCAACATGTGATGTGTGACTCCTTCATCAGCAACATGTGATGTGTGACTCCTTCATCAGCAACATGTGATATGTGACTCCTTCATCAGCAACATGTGATGTGTGACTCCTTCATCAGCAACATGTGATACCTGACTCCTTCATCAGCAACATGTGATATGTGACTCCTTCATCAGCAACATGTGATGTGTGACTCCTTCATCAGCAACATGTGATGTGTGACTCCTTCATCAGCAACATGTGATATGTGACTCCTTCATCAGCAACATGTGATGTGTGACTCCTTCATCAGCAACATGTGATATGTGACTCCTTCATCAGCAACATGTGATATGTGACTCCTTCATCAGCAACATGTGATATGTGACTCCTTCATCAGCAACATGTGATGTGACTCCTTCATCAGCAACATGTGATATGTGACTCCTTCATCAGCAACATGTGATATGTGACTCCTTCATCAGCAACATGTGATATGTGACTCCTTCATCAGTAACATGTGATATGTGACTCTTTCATCAGCAACATGTGATGTGTGACTCCTTCATCAGCAACATGTGATGTGTGACTCCTTCATCAGCAACATGTGATACCTAACTCCTTCATCAGCAACATGTGATGAGTGACTCCATCAGCAACATGTGATGTCTGACTCCTTCATCAGCAACATGTGATGAGTGACTCCATCAGCAACATGTGATGTGTGACTCCTTCATCCGCAACGTGATGTGTGACTCCTTCATCAGCAACATGTGATGAGCTACTCCTTCATCAGCAACATGTGATGTGTGACTCCTTCATCAGCAACATGTGATGTGTGACACACCAGATGGTGACATGTGATCCAAGATTCACTCACCACCAAGACATGTGATACAAGATTCACTCACCATCAAGACATGTGATCCAAGATTCACTCACCTCCAAGATATGTGATCCAAGATATACTCACCACCAAGATATGTGATCCAAGATTCACTCATCACTCGTGAAGGTCCGGGTTAGAATTGATCTTCAGTAACCCATGCTTGTCGTAAGAGGCGACTAATGGGATCAGGTGGTTAGGCTTGCTGACTCGGTTGACACATGTCATCATATCCCAATTGCGTAGATCCACGCTCATGCTGCTGATCACTGGATTGTCTGGTCCAGACTCGATTATTTACAGACTACCGCCATATACCTGGAACATTGCTGAGTGTGGCGTAAAACTAAACTCACTCACTCACCATCAAGGTGTGATCCCAGATTCTCTCAACATCAAGATATGTGATCCAAGATTCAATCACCAGCAACACACGTGATGAGACACTCACCAACATTGAGTTCCCTCCTACAGCCATAGGCTTGTCTCTGAGGGAGGGATTGTCTCTCATCTCCACTGCAGCATAGTACGCATCCATGTCGACGTGGACGATGGTGTGACTCAGATCCCGAGACATCTCGAGCTCCTCCAAAAGTCGATTTGCCTGTAACCATGGAAACAGTTGTTTGTTAATTGTAAATAACATTTTAGCAGCGTGTGTTTCAGAAGCAAGACCAATGGGAAGCTTTCTCTACTACCTAAAGAAGTATGTCTTAGTGGAAGATTGTAAACCTGTCTACAGTGTCATCTCACCTCCTCCAGACCCTGCTTCAGTGGAAGCTTCCTCTACTACCTAAACAAGTATGTGTTGGTGGAAGGTTGTAAACCTGTCTACAGTGTCACCTCACCTCCTCCAGACCCTGCTTCAGCTGGGTCTCTGTTATCTTGGACTGCTTCAGTCTCAGTTCCTCAATCCTCTGCTGAACCTGTTCTTCCTTCTTCTTTTCATTCTCAAAATATTTGGAACCTGAATAGAAACAACAATTCGCGAGTGTAATTGCATTTGTTTGCTGTACAATTGTACTGTTATGATAGGAATTTAAAATGTTGATAGCATGCACAAAATCCATAGAGTCGCAATTACTAATATAAAATATTAAACGGCAGAAAACTCTTTAAAATTTCAAACATTCTGTGTGTTGTGTAGCAAGAATTGTGACAAATGTTGGTGTGAGGAGTGATTAGATTACAAGAACAAGTTTCAAGTCAAATATGTGTTTGTTGTTAAACGCTGCACTTAGCAATAATCCATCTATATGGCTGCAGTCTGTAATTAATTGAGTCTGGACCAGACATGTCAATCAAGTCAGCGAGTCTGATCACCTGATCTTGTTAGTCAACTCATACGACAAGCATTGGTTACTGAAGACCTATTCTAACCCGGATCCTCACAGGTCAAGGTTCCAATAGGAAAGACCTCATTATGTTTGTCAAATGTGTACGATTTGGCAGTTACAGTGTTCGTGGTAGAAAAAAAACAACCTTGCATTCCTTACACGTATAGCCCCTGGAATCTTGCGTGTGCATGCAAGTCTCTAGGGGGGGCTGGGGTTGAAATTTAGACGTCATTTCCTTGCATTTCAGAGCCTTTTATCATCAATCGCAAGTCAAAATAGCTGTGAGAAACTTTATTTCATTTTGGAAAAATATGTTTTTCGGTTACCTGTTGTGTTCCACAAACCATTGATTCATATGTCCCCAAGTCATTGTCATTATTTTGAAGAAGGTTGAACTTGACTTTTGTGGTATGAATTCGTGAGATATGGTTTGGAGTTTTGCATGCCATCTGGCGAGGACTTTATTTATAAACCTGGGGAATTCCAAGTTTCGGTAACTTCAACATGTCAAAACGGACGATGTTACATTTCAGTATCATGAGAATTAGGAAGTAATTTAGAAATGTAAATAAAATTCTATGCATGCAGAACATGCAGGCAGAAAATATTGCGTCTGAAATGTAGATTCTTTTGCGTGAAACACGCAGATATTTGTGTTGACGCAAACACTGAGCTAGCTACCTTGTAGTTACAAAGACTGACAACCTACTCTTATGGATGACACACTTTGGTCAGATGGGCTCACTACTGTTGGTCAGATGGGCTCACTACTGTTGGTCAGATGGGCTCACTACTGTTGGTCAGATGAGCTCACTACTGACAAAGTCTCTATATGGTGGATGAAGTAGGTCACCTTTGCTGGCTTCATAGACGATCTGGTTGATTTTCTCCTTGTCAAGTCCATCCATGCCAGCCTTGTTGTCATTCAGTTGCATCCTGGTCAGCATCTGATCAGGACCCTGAACAGCCGACACCACAACAGGGGGAGCACCTGCAGGGAACACAAGACACAGGGTGAACAGTAGACGCCAGCTGGGACACAAGACACATTAATACTGTTACAATTGACACCAATGCAGTAAACACATCTGAACAGCTGACACCAATGCAGTAAACACATCTGAACTGCCGACACCAATGCAATAAACACATCTGAACAGCTGACACCAATGCAGTAAACACATCTGAACAGCTGACACCAATGCAGTAAACACATCTGAACTGCTGACACCAATGCAGTAAACACATCTGAACTGCTGACACCAATGCAGTAAACACATGTAAACTGCTGACACCAATGCAGTAAACACATGTAAACTGCAGTAAACACATCTGACTGACCCAATGCAGTAAACACATCTGAACACACCAATGCAGTAAACACATCTGAACTGCTGACACCAATGCAGTAAACACATCTGAACTGCTGACACCAATGCAGTAAACACATCTGAACTGCTGACACCAATAAAACTGCTGACACCAATGCAGTAAACACATGTAAACTGCTGACACCAATGCAGTAAACACATCTGAAACTGCTGACACCAATGCAGTAAACACATCTGAACTGCTGACACCAATGCAGTAAACACATCTGAACTGCTGACACCTGACACCAATGCAGTAAACACATCTGAACCAATGCTAAACACATCTGAACACCCAATGCAGTAAACACATCTGAACTGCTGACACCAATGCAGTGCAGTAAACACATCTGAACTGCTGACACCAATGCAGTAAACACACATGTGACAACAGTAAACACATCTGAACAGCTGACACCAATGCAGTAAACACATCTGAACTGCTGACACCAATGCAGTAAACACATCTGAACTGCTGACACCAATGCAGTAAACACATCTGAACTGCTGACACCAATGCAGTAAACACATCTGAACCAATGCAGTAAACACATCATGCATTTGAACTGCTGACACCAATGCAGTAAACATACATGCATTTGTACAAACATCCCTACAACATGCATTCAGTCACAATACTAAGAATTCAACAAAGAGATGCAATATTGTACCTGATGTGTCCTGCTGCTGCGCTGAACCAGATGATGATGGATGGCAAAGAGTTTCCCGACATGCTGCAACTCCAAGTGGCACTGAAAACGGATCAACAGCTCCAGACCACCTAGTATCAAGCCAATCGTCAGCCTCCTCATCCTCCAGCTCATCAGTGTCTGTTTCCATGGCAACTTCTTCTCTTGACCTTGCTACAAGAGAGTAGTCCCACGTCAAAGTCTAACGAAATCTTTGATTTTAAATCTACCGTCATAATCATGATAAAGAGTCTAAATGTTGATGAGAAAATCTACTAAAAGATTTTGTATCAGCAGATTGAAAGATTTTTGTCCCAGACTCTGATAGCAGCATGAGAAGACTATCAAGATCATAATGCATCAACTGCCACAACAGCTAGCATATTTTAGGATTTGTTAAGAGTTCCTCCCGTCCCCCATCCCAAATAATGTTTATAAATTCACATATGCTAAAATTAACAAAACTTAAGAGAACAATTACTAGAGAACTCACAAAAATTACTAAAAGTCCAAACTTTAAGTTAGGTTTAGGGTTAGGTTTAGAGTTAGGTTTAGGGTTGGGGGAACGAAAGGAACTCTTTCCTAGGATTCATTTTTGGGGTATATCATTACATGTAACAGTGAGTGAGTGATTGAGTGACTTTAGTTTTACGCCGCTTTCAGCAATATTCCAGCAATATCACGGGGAGACACCAGAAATGGGCTTCACACATTGTGCCCATGTGGGAAATCGAACCCGGGTCTTCGGCGTGACGAGCAAACATTTTAACCACTAGGCTACCCCACCATCCTTACATGTAACAGATACGATAACTATAGTAAGTATGTGGGTAACATAGGGCTGGGACGTTTCACCGATGCACCAATACATCACGATACATTTAAGTTTGATACAGTTATTGTATAGTCGACTGGTGTATCGATAACGATACATAATTTTTTTGAAACCAGTATTATCTTTAATATGTTAAACTTGTTTGTTTATTACAATGGTGTTATTGTTATATACAAATACCTTGAAATAAATCATTTTAAATCTTAATACTGTGTCATTCTTTCAAGGTGTATGTATCGTGATACGTATCGTATCGCAGGTAAAATATCGCGATACGTATTGTATCGTGACATAGTGTATTGTCCCAGTCCTAGGGTAGTATGGATTAAACACCACTTTGAGAGTTTGTTTCAACTGATGGAAACAAAAACTGGAACACATGAACATGATGAAAGTACAAGTGTTAATTATTGACTTGGGTCACTACTTGTCAGCTGAGAAGTAAACAATAAGAGAAAATTAGGTGAATTAATTACAAGCAATAATTTATGGCAAAGGGGGGGGTGATGATTTTATGGAGAAACATGTACAATGTGAATGACCCCCCTAAAATTTATGTACAAAATACATGACCCACCCTGCATGTCATGTACAAAATCAATGACCACTCCCCTACCCATAATTTCTAAGCATAATTTGAAACATATTTTTATGAACAAAATTTATGCCCACCCCACCCTCCTAGTACGTGTGTACAATTTGATGACCCCCACTAGCTCGCAAAAGAACAAAATGGGTCTCTCTCCTCCTCCCCAAATCATATCACACACACACCAGCCATAAATTATGAACGGTCCCTAATTCTAACCCGGATCTTCAGGGGTCTCATGTAAGAAAGGAAAACATTGTCTTCATTGCGTGTGAAAGTACGAGTCGCATGAAAACATAGTTTCTCAAAACGTAAATGGCGTTTGTACATTGATATGCTCTAAATGTCCTCTATACTCATAGGGGCGGTGGGGTAGCCTAATGGTTAAAGCGTTGGCTCGTCACGCCGAAGACCCGGGTTCGAATCCCCACATGGGCACAATGTGTGAAGCCCATTTCTGGTGTCCCCGCCGTGATGTTGCTGGAATATTGCTAAAAGCGGCGTAAAACCAAACTCAGTCAGTCAGTCTATACTCATAAGATGAGGGGCTGACATGAAACTTTCACCGGCTATGTGACGAAATAAATGGTTGTCCATAGCATAACATCACAAAACAAGTGCTGTTATCTTTATTTTACTTTGGTGACACGTATACAAGATGGATCAATCGAAATAGATACCAAAGTGTAATTATGTTTCACGCCAGGTGCTTGAACGGTATCCTATTTCCCGCCATCTTTGAAAGGGAGATAACAATTACTTTTGAAAATAGCACTGCTGTTGTGGAACGAATAATAGTTAATCAATTGTCTGTTAACTTCAAAATGCTATATGACACAAAGATGTACAAATATATTTAGTGCAAAAACAATATAGCCATAGATATGATGAAATTTTAAAGATATTTACTTTATGATTCTTCATTTTGGATTTCAGCCCGCTTGATATATCAAATCGTGGATTTCGAATACATTATCAGCATATTTCCGGTTGATCTGTAAAAATGATTGTTTACAAATCTACTCATTGTTTTAATCCTTCACAGGTCATTCATATAAATATTTCAGGATAAAATGTCTCAGCTGGTAAGTGTGGCACAAGTTTTCACTGATACATGAATATTTAAGTGAGAAAATCCCGCCAAAAGTGATTTTATGAGCTGTCAGTGGGTAAGAAGGCCATGCAGTTCATGTTGTGTTTACTCCGTCGTAGCAAATACTCATGGTCTTGATTAACCCAAGAACTTTGAATATATACAGATTCACTGATATATTACCTACTATGTTACCACACACCATGGCGTTAAAATATATATATGATAAACTGATATATACTTTTTTTTTGCATCACTAATTGTTGCATCACTAACAGGTTCAAATAATATTCAATATTACAGTAGTTTTGTTAATTTTGAAAATTTTGGCTTATTTGAATTTGTTTTTTGGTCATTAAATAGATTGTGTTTTAGTTATATCTTATCAGTGATTTGTGTCTTTAGATGCCAGATAATGGCACAAAAAAGTAATATACCCCATAAGCAATTCCCCAAATTTCCCATACAACTTGATCAAGTGACTCTGCCCATCGATATGTTTTTGAGGTAGTACTGAGTACATTTTCAGATTTATGATAAATCAAAAATATTGAAAAACGACACAAAATGAACAAAAATGAAAGGTTAATCTCTGATATATACTTATTTGCAATCCTTTGTTTCCAATTTTATTACATTAACTGATCTTCTTGTTCAGTACCGTTGAACTGAATAAGATATTGAAATTATGGAAAAGTTTCTGCAACAATTTGCCTTCTAAAACTGACTCTTTCTGTTTCAGTCACAAAGCCAAGTTCAGGTCACAATCGAACTTGGCCACACAGCAAGTTTCCGCAAAAAAACCAACATCAGAGGGGTTCACACATGACTGGACAGTGTTCGTACGAGGTCCTGACGGATCAAAGATTCAGCATTTCATTGAGAAAGTTGTTTTCAACCTCCATGACACCTTTAGCAGACCCAAGAGAAGTAAGGCTGAATCAGTTGAAGCTTCATGCAGATATTCCTTTGGTTATCAGATATATGAGATAAACATTTGTTATCATTATAGAGGTTTATAACTTAATTTGATACCTGTAAATTTTGTTAAAAATTGAACTCATTAGCATAAGGTTGTAATATAAAAAACAGTCAGATTTCATATCTACAGTTAGCATAAATTTACACTGAAAATGTATTGGTGGTATTGTGCAAAGAGTGAGTGAGTGAGTTTAGTTTTACGCCGCACTCAGCAATATTCCAGCTACAGTAGAACATGGATATAGCGAACACGGATATGCGTACAAACGGATATAGCGAACAAATTTAAAAGTCCCGTCAACAGTCCTTTATAATATCATTAAAATTATACGTGAATAACGAACTCGTGAGTAGCGAATTAACGGCTATAGCGAACTGATTTACGACCCCCAAGACCCAATTAACGACGTGATTAGCGAACTCACTCAGTGTCAGCCCAGCCACTTAGCGTTACAGTATACATCAATCTTGTTGGCGGTGAATCAACATTGTTTGATGGTCATTAATTAATTAACAAAACAAACATATCGTGTTTAACCCATTCAACAAATAAAAATAAACTTCATATTTATCAACATGATATAGGTAATGTCTTTGAATGTCTACATCTGTACAATCCAAGATGGCGGTCAAATGTGAATAACGAACAACGGATATAGCAAACTAAATTTCTTGGTCCCTTGGAGTTCGTTATATCCGTGTTCTACTGTATATATATGGCGGCGGTCTGTAAATAATCGAGTCTGGACCAGACAATCCAGTGATCAACAGCATGAGCACTTATCTGCGGAATTGGGAACTGATGACATGTGTCAACCAAGTCAGCGAGCCTGACCACCCGATCCCCTTAGTCTCCTCTTGCGACAAGCATGGGTTACTGAAGGCTCATTCTAACCCGGACCTTCATGTGTTATTGTGCAAAGAGCACAGGTCACAAATCAGTTGAAGATAAGCAATGTTTGTCGTGGAGAGTCCTTGGATGGGCAACTTGACCCCTGCGAGTTTTTTAGGACTTTGGTCTCGCCTCAGAACGAAGCCAGTGTAACACATCTGGGTTCACTTTAGGCATGTGACTTGTGCATAATATGCCTCTTTTCACTCTGTTCACTCAGCCCAGCGTTTGATACAAAACTAATCATAATATATATTTTTATTGCAAAATCCACTGATTCTGTTCCATGCCTCAACACAGGAATAAATTTACCCTAAATATTAGAGTTGTGACGATATATCGTAGTATCGATAACCGTGATACTTTTTCTGACAATAAATATATCGATACTTTTTTCCATATCGTGATATGTATCGTTGACCTTAAAATTTTCACTAGAAATTAACGGTTATGTCAAAATTTGCTCTGTTACTTGTTATCAAAATACACTTTTTTAAAGAAAATAACTAAAGATAGCATATCATGGTATCCATCGTATCGAATCGTATCGTTCCATGGTTTCGCAATATGTATCGTATCGTGAAATTTCTGTATCGTCACACCTCTACTAAATATACTGAAAATAAGAGTCCCAACTCAACAAGTCTAGAATCACTGACAAGTCTAGCTTGCTTTACCTTTAGGCAGAAATTAAGAATAGTTCTGGCCTCTTTTGGATTGAGCGTGATAGGGTAGCCTAGTGGTTAAAGGGTCGGCCCGCCATGCCGAAGACCCAGGTTCGATTCCCCACATGAGTATAATGTGTGAAGCCCATTTCTGGTGTCCCTTGCTGTGATATTGCTAGAATATTGCTAAAAGCGGCATAAGACCATGCAGTCTTATTAATGAGTTTGTCACAGTTATTTATTGTATTTGTGACAACAGTGACCAAGTAACCATGGTAACCATTTTATGGATAATTAATGTGTCATAGGTGTAATTTTACCTCTCACTTGCTCATAGTACTATAATTAGAAGCAAGGCAGGTTTTGTTATGAGTTGAGATTTCAGCACAGAATGCAAGCGTAAATATGCATTACCGCAGTATTATACTTTTGGAAATTTACCCACTGATCAACACCCTGAGTCGTAAAAATTCTGTTTAGTCTTTTCAGGTCAAGTAATAACTGTTTTTTAAATATCATACCCATCTATTGAAAATGATGGAAAGCCAAGTTCGGGTTATAAAACTCAAAAGGATTCGGCACAGTGAGTGAGTGAGTTTAGTTTTACGCCACACTCAGCAATATTCCAGCTATATGGCGGCGGTCTGTAAATAATCAGATCTGGACCAGACAATCCAGTGATCAACAGCGTGAACATCGACCCACACAAATGGGATACGATGGCGTGTCATCCAAGTCAGCAAGACCTGACGATCCGATCCCGTTAGTCGCCTCTTACAACAAGCATGGGTTACTGAAGATCAATTCTAACCCGGATCATCGCCATAGTCTTGGGGCGGTGGGGTAGCCTAGTGGTTAAAGCGTTAGCTCATCACGCTGAAGACCTGGGTTCGAATCCCCACATGGGTACAATGTGTGAAGCCCGTTTCTGGTGTTCCCCGCCGTGATGTTGCTGGAATATTGCTAAAAGCGGCGTAAAACCAAACTCAGTCAGTCAGTCAGTCAGTCACCATAGTCTTTGGCCATGAAGCTGTCACATATCATTCAACAGAAATGCTTGTTTACTCAGTCATGTCTGATCCTTTACAGGATTCTCCTGAGTTATGGGCAGTAGACTGGCAATTTACCCAGGGGTTGAAATAACCCATTGCCCGACGCCCCAGTCCAGTGTTTTTTTCTGTCGAGCAAGCAAATTTGTATATTACGCTATACCGGTGTCCAGTTGACTTTCCAATGTTAATTATGTTGTTTATTTAAAAAACCAACAAGAAAAGTGTCCGGTATAGTGGAAAAATTATCAGGGCAAGTGATTTTACATGTGCAACTGTACCGGAGTACACTAGCAATTTTAAACTTATTTCCACCCCTGTTACCAAAATGCAGATTTTCCCAAACCTATGCCAATCCCGTGATTGAAAAAAATGCTTAATGTACATAAAACGGCATTGTAAATATTGAGATGGCAGAGATGAAATATTTTCATGACACACCTAAATTTGTGCAGAGGATACTCACAATGATTCATTTTGATGGAAAATATGAAATTTTTTACCAATTCAAATGATTCAAAACCCATTTTTGTACACCCGTAACCAGTTAATTGGTTGCACGCTCAGCTTAACACTTGTGTGGGATATTTTAGCGCCAGTGCACAGTACAGGAAATCCTGTTTTGGATGATAACATATCAGTATTTTCTGGGTTGGTTAAACATCCAGGACAAATGAAGCTGAATTATTCTTGCAGTCAGGATTTGTTGAGGAAAATTAGAAGTCAAGTTTACGAGGGTATGTGATGTCTACTGATTTATTAACAATGAATTGAAAAGACATAATTGTTGTGATATTTTAAGTTTAATTGGATCATCAAAAGGTATGGTCACAGTTATTTTCACAAAAGCACACCTAAATTATCTGTATGGGCCAGTATGGCACCGTTAGATAAAACTGCATTTGTATACTTGCAATTGGATGTCTCCATTTGTTGGAACCTGCTGGCATTAATTGTAGCTAACAGGTAGATACGTTGAACCTGCTTCTGTCTCTTTGTTATGTATCACTCAAAACTAGTACACAGTTATGGCAATTTTCCGCTGACCGCAAATTTCTGCCAATTTTATTTCAAATTGAACAATTTTGTGATTCGTCTAAATCCCTGAACCCCCATTCAATGACCCAATATTAGTTTTCAGCTGACAATAGATTTTCCTGTTGCCATCCCTGAGTTCAAAACAGCTACGTGTGGATGGATGTTGGTTAAAACATTCACCAGCCCTGAATGATTAACTGTAATTATTTAAATTGGTCTTATGACCTTATTTTATTAGTATACATTATGTAAGTTGAAAAAAGTTTATGTGGACTAAAAGTGATGCTAATTTTGGACAAACCTTTAAGAAGGTATTGTATGAGCAGCTATCGGAACCACTGTGAGGGGGAAACTTGCCATTAATTTTAATAAATGTCAGAGAAAATTACACAGCATGATAATGTAAGGTGTCTGCATATGCATTAGCTTTTCCGTCTGCAGCAGGGCAGGGTAGCATAGTGGTTAAGGCATTCTCTCGTCATGCTGAAGACACGGAAACGATTCTCCACCTGGGTACCCAGGGGTGGAAATAATCCATTGCCCGATGCCCCAGTCCAGTGGGTTTTTTTCTGTCGGGCTGCAAATTTGTATGTCACGCTGTACCGGTGCCCAGTTGACTTTCCACTGATTTTTGTTAATTATGTTGTTCATTTAAAAAAAAATCAACAAGAAAATCGGCCGGTATAGTGGAAGAATTATCAGGGGAAGTGATTTTACATGTGCCACTGTACCGGAGTACACTAGCAATTTTAAAGTTATTTCCACCCCTGGTACCGTGGTTTTTAAGCCTACCATGTATTTGATTTTTCACTGAGGGATCGGATGGGAAATATCAGTGAATTAATTCATACAGATGACATGATCAGACTTGGAAACTCATTTGACAGCAATGTGACACAGTTTTTGTCAACTTAGATAGGGTAGTATATTTTGTTTTGTAATGACTATGAATTACCTGGTTGTGTGAAACAAGAATCTAGTTGTTGAGTTGATACACTGGATTAGTTGTTTTGTTGTTGTTTAACGCCGCACTCAGCAATATTCCATCTGTATCGCAGCAATCTGTAAATAATCGAGTCTTGTCCAGACAATCCAGTGATCAACAGCATGAGCATCAACCTATGCAACTGGGATACGATGACATGTGACAACCAAGTCAGCGAGTCTGACCACCCAATTTCCGTTTGTCGCCTCTAGTCTTAAGACAAGCTTGGGTTACCGAAGACCAATTCTAACCCGGATCTTCACAGATAGATTCAATGGAGCAAAGTGGTGAAACTTCTGTTTCCAAAAAGGATGTTGACT